ACACATGACAGAGAAAGGGTTGGTTTGCTTTTGGGAGGAGTGGAAGGACTAATAAATAGAGTATTCTTTACGATCATTAAACATATAATCCTTATAACGTTATAAACAATTATCCAACTTCAACATGCATGAAGACCTTTACATGTATGATATTATCAACACCTAATGTTAGCTAGCACAATAAGAAGAAGATGACATATTAATCAAGTAAAGAAATGTTCCATGAACTAGTGGATGTTATCACCTGCAAGGTTCCAAATAAAACAACCGGTTTTAGGGTGTCATAGATTCCAAAGTACATGCCTCGATACAGAGTTATTCCTATCAATGAAACACCAAATCCTCGGTAGAGCCCAATGATTCCATCGCTTGACATTGTTTTAGCATAAACATCTACCAATCCTTTGTATTGGCGTTTTCCATTAATGGGGCATTCCTTTGCATCAGTTCCAAGCCGAGTTCGTGCATAGTCCAAATGATAAAGAAATAATGAGGTGGCTGCTCCAGCAGCACTTCCTGAGGCTAGATTTCCAGCAAACCACTTTGCATACCCATCTTTCTCTTTTGTACACCCAAAGAGACTTTTGAAGTAATCCTTGAATGCAAAGTTGCAAGCCTTTGAAGAGCAAAATATGTAATATCAGGAACTACAGCCGGTGCCATTGCACATATATTATGGGTTCATTTGGTTTGCATTTGCCTTTTGGCTAATTTGATTTCTCAAAATCCGTTGAAATCGGCTATTTAAGAATTAGTTGATTCGGGAAAATCTAGTCAATTACTTCTCAGAATCACAATCTGTTGAGCAGAATGAGAACTGATTCTACCTGACTTTGCATTCTCCTTTTGAAATGTATTCTCATATATTGCATACTGGAAGAAATACAAAGGCATAAACTGATAAGGTGTAAAGCATGCTAAGTCATGGAAAAAGTCTTGGTCCTAAGTTTTGTTTCCAACTGTGAATTCTTTACAACAGGCTGAATAGCTTTAAGCTTTCCGGCTATAATCTAAAAGTCTGAAAGAAAAATTGTTTAGCAGCATCCATTTGAACCCAAGTGACTGAAAAGCTATGAACTAATTACGGCTACCAAATAAAACTCAATCCACCATCACAATTAAAAATTAAAGAGTAATTCTAACAAGACCTTTTCAATTGACATACGCAACCGCAAGTGACATCCTCATAACATACTTTCATTACTCACACTGGGCATTAAAATACTGGGCTCAACTCAAAAATTTAAAACCAAAAAAGGATTGTCACATGAGAATGCCACTTGAATGTCAAAAAACATGTCACTCAAGAATTATTCAACAAACTAACTAAAAAAACTTTCTTGCGCTGGTTTTGAATATTTTTTAAGAAAATAGTGATTATGGTGGTTTAAAAACTGTCCAGTGTAGATATATGATTAAAAGACGTGAACGGCTACCTGAGTTGGGATGTATCGTATGACATTGGCCTGGTTACCCCTCCAGAGGGACACAAAACCATCCTCTCTCAAAACTCTATGGAAGCAGTCACCAATACCCAAGTATGGTCTTTTTAACTGTCCTCTTTTTATCAACTCTCCTTGATTCTGCAGTAAGAGTTTAACTCTTTCAATAGGTGCTGCAGCACTTTTTGATAACACGGCTGCTCCTCCTCCCATCAAAAAATTGACAGAAAACTTCTCTGATTGAGCTTCCATCATCACCCACCGTTGCCCTCTTTACCCCTGTAAAATGCAAACCTTAAATTAACCATTTTACCTTTCAAAAAAGATCAGCTCAGGGTACAGAGAGTCAGAGGCAATTACAATTTACAGACAGTCAAACATGATTTTCAAGTGAAAACTAAAATCCAATGTACAATGATTAACATTTAAAACAAGGCCTCGCCGAAAGGAATACTACTATAACCAGTCTCAGAGCTTGCTTCTAAAAGGTAATCTGTATAAACATTGTGTATTCAGATAAACAGCTTCCAAAGTATTAGTAGACGCGACTATGATGGGATGCCTTTCCCACCTCAGGAATGGCTCAGAACTGAGTTGAAAACTTAAAGATAAAGAACCGAAAACTTCAAATTTAATCTTAGAAGGATCAGCTCAGGTAGAGAAACAATTAAAGACAGTCAAAAATCAAAAATTGAATTTTAAGCGAAGACTAAAATGCACACTACAGTTGTTAACATTCCAAACAAGGACTCATCAACAGGAATATTAGTATAACTAAGCTCAGAGCTTGCTTCCAATATGTAGCTTTGTGGATCAGCACCCCTTTCACTCTATCTTGCGACATTCCACCTTCCCTCTCACTTTCACTAGTTTGTTTTCTTACCTTTTCATGTGAAGTTTAACAGTCTCTTTCCCTATATACTCATTACATGTTAGTACTCTCTAGGTAAATTCATTTTCCATATTCTTGGCCCTTAAATAGTATTCAACTCATTTTTAGTCCTGTAGATGCATAACAAAGAATACAGTGTCACACATGAATGGGTCCATGCAGAAGAGTTCTGCAACAATTATCAATGGTACTGATTTTCCAGTAATTTTTCAACAAATCTCAAGCCTTGAATCCGACCTTCCGGAAAAATATTGTTGTTGCATCGATGGGTTCAAACAATAAAAATGTCCCATCACTCCCATGATGTGCTCGTTGATTTTAGAATACCAATCTTGTAATGAGACACGGTAAATATACTAATCTCAATCCGTTGATGTCCCATAAAGGTTTTGGAATTATGATCGAGGTTTTGGAATTAAATATTTCATAATTACTCTGTGAGAAGGTTGCCGGAAGATGGGCATCCGGCATCCATGGTAGCACTTTTTCCCTACACTTTAAATAATAGTTCATAGAATTAACTGGCTTTTCTTATCAATGGATTGACACTAAATTACATGTCACCTACCCGCCATGGTTGGGACTAAGATGATGATGATTTTGCAGTGCTGGATTCAAACACCACTTTTCCTCCCTTTCTTGAACTGTGTACAAATGTTAGCACTATAAACTGCCTATACTTTTACTTCGTAAGGAATATAATTATATAGAGTTTAAGAGTTAGGTCTTTAATTCTATTAGCAAATAGACCTGATTATACCTATCAAGGGAACCTTTAAAAGCACAAAATTAGTCAAATAATGCAGATTGATTTCTCGATTAAATTGGGCGCTGTACAAAAACTTCGAGTCTAAACAATTCGTATTCTTGTTCAAAGAACACGCATATCTGGTGTAGATTATACAGGATTAAAGGTATTGCGAAATAATTACCGATGGTGGCAAAGGACGGCATGCGGAGCGGCGGAGATGGGAGCGGAACAAATGGCCGATTCCTCTAAAGAACAAAAAAATTAGCGCCTTCAAACTCTCGGACAAATTATGTAAGCTTTTTCAAAACACTTTGTTAGAACACCTCATAAAATACTTTTACACTATCTATAAAATGTTTAAAATATCTTCAAAACAATTTAAAAAACTTGCATTAAATAAGACTAAAGTATAAGTGGTTGTTTGGCAACTTCTGAATAGGTAAGTGCTGAACCAGGAAAAGGTCTGAACCATTAAGTGCTGAATCAGTAAGAGGTTTGAACCATAAAGAGCTAGTATATTGCTTAACTATTCAGAGACAAATATCTGATCAATTCAGATAAGAGGTCTTAACCATTCAGACTCTGTATTATACTTAACCATTTAGTGGCAAATCTCTTAACCATTCAGACATCTGAACCATTAAGAGGCTGAAACAAATCGTTTGAACCATTAAGTGCTGAACCATTCAGACATCTGAACCATTAAGAGGCTGAAACAAACAGCCCCTAAGTCATTTACCAATGTATGACTTAAATTTCTTTATTTCCTAAATAGCATTTAATAATGTCTAGTACGAGAAATATTGTTCAGTGATAGTAGACATTTACTTGAATAATGATTAATGGATAATGACTAATGGTCCTACATTGGAAAATAAAAATATATGGTTATATATTGAGAAAGTCATTATGTTTTAGTCCTATTTAGGTAAATTCTTCAAACAACTTCTACTCATAATAAACTACATAATATGATGTATTTTAGATATTTTAGATGGAAGCAAAGTTATTTTATGGGATACGCAAAAAATTAGAGCAGAATTATTTTTAAAAAACGGAGGGAGTAATTGGTTCGACTAAGTTTTTCAAGAGGATATGATATGAATGGGGTGTTCTTAAAGTTATTTTTTTCTGATTTGATTTGATTTCGATAAAAATAAGTAATAAACAAAAATCTGTTTACAAATTACATGGCAGGCGTGTTCATTCAGTAAAACCGAAATGAACCAAATTATGATAAAATAATTTTTGTATCGAATATCGAACCATAAGAAATCGGTTCGATATGGTTAATAGCGAAAACTATTTCGCTTTAGTAATTGATAATACTGAAAAAACCATTTCCACTTATTTTCATCAATAATGCACATTCTTAATTTTTAATTTTCATCACTAGCCATCTCATTCAAAATCTAAAGAAATTAGAAATACTCAGTACTTCTTAGCTATAGTCAGTCATAAATTACTTGGTTTTTCATAATATTAATAGATTATCGAAGCACACAAAAAATAAAATCCGTATATATATATATATATATATATATATATATATATATATATATATATATATATATATAGATTTTGGTTCTGGTGAGAATGCAATCTTAGGAGAGAAATGAGAATGAATATGGTGCTTTAGATTGTGAGATCTAAGGGTCAAGATTTCATCAAAATTAGATGCACCAAAATGGTGCGAAAATGCATCACGTCGAAATGCACCATAAACCTTCGAAAATGCACTATCTCAAAATCTGAGCGCAGGATGCAATCTGAGCCGCACGATGCATCAGATCCGACGGCTAGATTTTATTCTCATTTCTCTCCACTAGGTGCATTCTCACGAGAACCAGCCCCTATATGTGTGTGTGTGTGTGTTGTATGTATGTATATATATGTATAGGGATTGACTCAAGTTAGATGACACCTTATGGTAAGATGACATGCTTCGGTCAGATGACGCAAAGCTCACCACTGGCCACTGTAAAGCTCACCAAAGACAATTACAAAACTCACCAAACTGTTAGGCAAAGCTCACCATATTTTTTCAACACTTTGAATTTTTTTTGAAAAAAGAAATCAAAGGAAGGGGTGCTGACTAGACTTTGACCATTGACCGTTGACCATCACCGGCCACCGCGTGCCACCGCCGACCTCCACCGCCGCCAACCACCCCCGCCGTCCGCCGACCGCCGCCGCCGCTGACCACCACCGCCGGCCGCCGCCAATCTCCGTCGCGCCGCCGCTGCTGATCGGTGGTTGGCCGATGTTGCTATTTTATTTTTAATTATTTTAATAATTTTCAAAATTAAAAAAAAAGGTGTGTTTTGGTGTTCAAAGTGGTGAGTTTTGCTTTATTTCCAGGTGAACTTACATTGGTCATTGGTGAGCTTTGTAGTGTAATGTGGTGAGCTTTGCGTCATCTCACCGTAAGGTGTCATCTTACTAGAGTCAATCCCCCACACACACACACACATATATATATATGAAGAAAGCTTACATAATTTGTCTGGCAAGGTCAAAGTCTCCACCAACCTCAGAAGCTTCAAACGTCACCCGTTTCTTCCATGCAAATGCTCCGCTCATTGCACTTGTAATTTTTCCTTCTGACAGCTTCCGTGTCAAATCTTTTCATATAAGTTTATACAAACCCTTTGACAAAACTCCTTTTGCTACCACCATTGCTCCCCTAGAAATTTTTAACACTCCACCTTGAGCAAAAATTCGGTAGCCCTCTGAGTCTAAAGCCCCCAATGAAATCAAATTTCCTTTTAGACCCGGTACATGTTCCACTCCAGTTAATGTTCTCACCACACCATCAAACATGCGAACTTGTATTGTTCCGACCCCCGCAATCTTGCTCCGTGCACCATTTGCCATCTTCACAGCACCCCATCGCAAGTTTGATACGTATCAAACTGCTCTTTAACTGAACACATGTGAAACGAACAACCCGAATCTAATATCCAATCCGATTTACCTAGACTCTTTGCGGTTTCCAAAAACAAGTCTTCTTCACTTGCTTGGTTCGAACTTTCTACAATCGCAGTCACGGGTGTTTTCCTGTCCTTCTTTTCCTTCCTCCTCTTTGGACAATCCCTTTTGAAATGACCCTCTTCATCGCAGTAGTAACACCGAAAGCTTTTACTACTCGATTTGAAGCGTTGGGACATGCCGCCCCTCTCTTTATACCGTCCTCGTTCCCGACCAGCTCCTTTTGCTACCAAAGCTTGACCGTCATTTGATACTCCGTTGCCACCCCGCCGAGTCTCGTTCATCAACAACGCAGCAACATCTTCATCAAATTTTAAGGTCTCTTTTCCAAACAAGAGCGTGGTCACGATGTTGTCAAAAGATGAAGGCAATGAAGCCAACAAAAGCAGCGCATTGTCCTCCTCTTCAATCTTCACATCAATGGATTCCAACTTTGTTGTAACCTTGTTGAATTCATCCAAGTGTCCATTAAAGTTAGCTTCCTCCGCCATTTGGAGACCAAACAATCGTTTCTTCAAGTATAACCTACTTGTCAACGATTTCGACTTGTACCGGCTCTCTAGCTTGTCCCAAATATCCGCCGGGTCCGTCAAACCAAGAACCTCCCGAAGAGTATTATTTGCAAGACATAGGCATATTGTACTTGTTGCCATGTCCTTCAAATCCTCCCACTCTTCTTCCGACAATTTTTCTGGTTTGTCGTTCTTCCGGTGTTTGGCCCACTCAGCATCCGTCATTTTTTCTGTCCTCTGAACCTTCACCTTCAGAGCTTTGATTGTCCCTTCCCGAGTAAGAACACTTTTTACTCGTTGTTGCCATAGAGTAAAATCGCCACGTCCATCAAAAAGTTCGACAGAAACATTCGAACTTTTTACTGATGCCATTTTTCAAGTTCTTTGATTGTCTTCTCTTACCGCTTAGAAATCCCTCCGCCCCAAATGTAACTTGGCTCCGATACCAATTGTTGGGATTTTAAGCACGTAAGACTCTTAAAATATCAAGAACGTAAAAAATAAATAACCACACTACACAAGAAGAAAATATGAGAGAAAAAATATATCTTCACTCTTTCAGAACGATATACAAAAAACTCTCCCCTGATTACAAGCACTAAATACCAGACACTTATAAACAGACTTTTCACACTCTACACCCGGATGTATTTTTCTGAGTAACAAATAATTACTCCCTACACTCACTCACACAGTTTTGGTGATATCTTGTGTAGCACCTTTCTCTTCACACCTTTTCTCTCCCTCTCTCTTCCGTGTGTAAAACCCCATGCACAATGCTCATGTTTTATAGCCAAGCATGATTAATGCAATCAAAGAAAAGTCAACAAAAGCTAAATGGCCACCAAAATCAGCCGAAAGCAAGATCTCCACAATAAAAAAATATTTGATTTTCTCTTTTTTTCTTTTTCTTTTAATTGATTAATCAAATTCCCAACAATTATTTAATTTAATTATTTATTGTAATTGACTCATTACTATTTTAAGTGAACAATTACCATTTTTTATTGCAATTCCAAATGGGCAGGATTAATAAAAGTAATAAAACTAAGTTTACAATACAGGTAAGTAGATTAATAATTATTTACCACTTTAAATTACTCGTTTAATCAATTACCGTTTTGTTAACCGAAATATGTAAGTAGATTTCTTATTTTGTTTACAATAAAGGTATGTAGATTTCTCGTTAATTACCAATTTAAAATACTTACCGATTTAATTATTTCCAAGTTAAATTAATACCGTTAGTATTACTATTATTGTTTAAGCGTGTAACACTAATTTCCATCAACTGCCATAATTAGGTTGGTCGTGTAAACATAATTACGTAATGTAATTATTATAATTTTAATTGAGTCATTACCATTTTAAGTAAACAATTACCATTTTTATTGGAACACCAAATGGGCGGGAAAACCAAATTGAGAATCCATGGCTTTTTGAATAAAGTATGGATAAAATGATATGAAGCACACTGTTTTTCTTAAAAATGAAAAAGAATAAACTTTAGAAACAAGTTAAATAGAAAACTAAGAATGTAATCCTTAATTATTAGGCGTCGGAAAAACTTTTTTTTAACTACATTGAGAATGTCAATCTAATTCTACTTTTTGTTAGAATAACGTCCCAACACTAGAGGGGGGTGAATAGCGTTTAAACGAGAAACGTTGCAGGAATAAAAAAATTAAGAACGTGAAAAGTACAAAGCGTAGAAAGCGTTAAGGGAGCACACCAAGATTTATACTAGTGCTCTTGTTGCTTGTTCCTTATCATGTCTGCGGAAGATGTCATTACCCTAAGCCGTGATCAACGCGATGACCGCATCGACGATTTACAACATACAGTGCATCAGATGCAGCATGATCTGGAGTCGAAATTCGCGCGGTTGGAAGCGTTGGTTTTGGTGAATCGGCCGCCTCTGCTGCCACCACCTACAGGACAGACGCCCATCGGGAACAATGTCCATCCTCCCTTCGGCGAGTCTCCGTCGTCGTCGCATGGTAGCCTGCCCAAACCAAAGCTCGATGCGCCCAAAACAGACGGGTCTGATCCCTTGCGTTGGCTCTATAAGGTCCAGGAATACTTCTCTTTTTACGAAACCTCGCATGCGGAGCGACTCCGCCGCGTCACGTTGATGCTTGAAGGGACGGCAGCGGATTGGTATCGTTGGCGACGCAAAGGTAATATGATTGCGAGTTGGGATGATTTTGTGGAAAAATTTAAGCTCCGTTGCACTATGTGGACTATTTTGGCCAATTAGCCAAGCTCCGGCAGACCGGGTCCGTCATGGAGTACCAGGCCGAGTTTGAATGCATTTTGCAACACGTTTCGGGGGCGCCCGAGGCCAACCTGGTCTCCTTGTTTCATTTGGGTCTCAAGCCTCATCTTCTCCACAAGATCGTGTTATTGACTCCCGAGTCTCTCGCCGATTCGTTTGCCCTAGCGCGGGAATTAGAGGCGAAACATATGGCCCTGGTCCAGTCCGTATCCCCGCGGCAAGGTTCTTCGGTGTCCGGGGGTCTGTCCAAACCCTCTCCAGCAACTCCGTTCGTGTGGCCCCTAAGTTCTGTGCCCCTCACCGATGCCAAACCCTCTTTCGCTACACCCATCCGGCGGTTGACACGCGCGGAAAAATTGGAGAAAGACGCAAAAGGGTTGTGCTATAATTGCGACCAACGGTGGACGAAAGGGCACCGTTGTGGGCGGGTTTTGTTCCTTATTGGCGATGACGATGATGCACCGGACTCGGTGGATGAGGAGGAAGGTGCTGAACCGTGTGAACCGTGTGTGATCGCCGACATCTCCAGCCTCCAAAGCTTGACAGGCACACTCACACTTCGATCTTTACGGCTTGCGGGAATGATTCACACCACGACACTCGAGGTACTAATTGATGGGGGTAGTACGCACAACTTTATCCACCCACGGTTGGTGGCAAAGGTCCCCTTGCCGATTACACATGTGCCACCATTTCGGGTCTACGTCGGCAACGGTGATTATCTCGTCTGTGATACTTAGTGCACTAGTGTTCCCCTACAGCTCCAGGGCGTCACCTTTACAGTGGATCTGTTCGTCCTTCACATACATGGCCCGGACGTGGTTTTGGGGGTACAGTGGCTACAAACCTTGGGCAAGGTGGGCCATGACTATTCTTCGTTAACCATGGAGTTTAAATGGCAGTATAGCACGGTGACATTACGTGGGCTGCCGCACACGGCCAAATCAGTTTCACTCCAGGTTTTGCAGGCTATTACACATTCAGGGGTAGTGCACGAGTGTGTGGAGGTTCTCTGTCTAAACCCCGACCCGGACCTAGCGACTGAGACGCCCCTACCACCCCTGCCAGTGCTGATCCAGCAAGTCCTCGATGCCCATGCGGCCGTGTTCTCACTGCCCACCACCTTACCACCTAAGCGCACCGTGGATCACCGGATTTTTCTCCAAGCCAGGACACCGCCAGTCAATGTCCGGCCCTACCGGTATCCCCATTTTCAAAAGGATGAAATCGAGCGACTCGTGGGGGAGATGTTGTCCCAAGGGCTCATTCGACCGAGTAGAAGCCCCTTTTCGTCGCCGGTCCTGTTGGTCAAAAAGAAAGATGGTTCTTACCGTTTTTGTGTGGACTATCGGGCTCTAAACACCGTCACGATTCCAGATCACTTTCCCATACCCACAGCCGACGAACTGTTTGAGGAGCTAGGGCGGGCACGCTACTTTACAAAACTTGACTTGCAGGCAGGCTATCACCAAATCCGCATGCATGATCGCGACGTCTATAAAACGGCCTTCCGGACACACGACGAACATTATGAGTTTTTGGTTATGCTGTTCGGATTAACTAACGCTCTGTCAACCTTTCAGGCATGCATGAATCGTCTGTTTGGGCCGTACCTACACCGGTTTGTGATCGTGTTTTTTAACGACATATTGGTTTACAGCGCGTCCTTGGATGTCCATTCCGAGCACCTGCAGATTGTGTTGGGGATGCTAGCGCATCATCAGTATTTTGTCAAGTGTTCCAAGTGTTCGTTTTGCCAAACCTCGGTGGAATATTTGGGGCATGTGGTGACGGCTGGAAATTTGGTGGCCGAAGCCTCGAAGATCACGGCCATGGTCACCTGGCCGACGCCAAAGAAACTTAAACAGTTGCGGGGCTTCCTCGGCCTCACAGGGTATTATCGTCGTTTCATTCGACACTACTCTCAGATTGCCACACCCCTGACCAACCTCTTGAAGAAGGATGCATTTGCTTGTGATGACCGCGCCCAAGGAGCTTTTGAGGTTCTGAAGAAGGCCCTAACATCCGCCCCGGTTCTTCGACTGCCAGATTTTGATCTCAAGTTCGCGGTGGAAACTGACACAAGTGCCTTTGGTATAGGCGCAGTTCTTCTTCAACAGGAGCAACCCGTGGCCTTTTTTAGCAAGAAACTGGGCACCCAGCGAGCAGTGGCCTCCGCATATCATCACGAGCTCTACGCCATCGTCAAAGCCATGCAAAAGTGGCGTCACTATCTGTTGGGCGCGCCTTCGTCATCCGATGCCTTGTCACGCCGGGATGAGCCGCTGGTTTTGGGCCACTCACTGGGCCCGTCGGTTTTACAGCAGATTCGGGAGGAGAATTCCACACAGCCCGACCTCGTGCGGTGGCACGACGAAAGGGGCAGGGGGACCTTATCGCGGGACTATTCGGTGGCAGACGAGATTCTTTATTTTTGCTGCCGCATTTGCATTGAAGCGACATCTGACTTACGGACTACACTTATTCACGAGTATCACGACACACCTATGGCGGGACATGCGGGAATTCATCGCACCTTCCAACGTTTAGCAATAGTTTTCTATTGGACAACGATGCGGGCGGACGTTCGGCGCTATGTGTCCTAGTGCCTCATCTGCCAAACGGTAAAGTACTCCACGTTACCACCCGCTCGGCTATTGCAACCCTTACCCATCCCCACCCAAGTGTGGGATGACGTCTCAATGGATTTCATCGTGGGGCTACCTCCGTCGCGACATTTCACCGTTATTTTGGTCGTGGTAGATCGTCTGTCCAAATTCATTCACTTGGGGGCTCCTCCGACCGATTTTGACACCCATCGGGTGGCGTTTCTCTTTGTTGATATGGTGATGAAATTACTTGGATTTCCCAGGACGATTGTGTCTGATCGAGATCGGGTTTTCACGAGCAAATTTTGGAGGCAGCTACTCAAATTGAGCGGAACAACCTTGCACCATAGTACGGCATTCCATCCCCAAACTGATGGTCAGACAGAAGTTATGAATCGGGGCGTCGAACACTATCTCCGGGCTTTTTCTCATGACGTCCCCACCCGTTGGACGATCCTCTTGCCGTGGGCCGAGTACGCCCTAAATACAAGCTTTCATAGTGGGTTGGGGGTGACGCCATTCTAGGCATTATATGTAAGGGAACCACCGACGTTCCTACCGTATGCTCCGGGGGAATGTTCTTTACCGGTGGTTGATGTGTTGCTCACAGAACGTACGGAGCTGCTGGCAAGGTTATGGCAGCGACTACTACAAGGCCAACAACGCATGTGTGCGGGGGCGAACAAACACAGACGGGAGGTGACTTTCGCCATCGGGGATCTGGTTTTGCTCAAGCTGTAACCATATAGGTAGCATTCGGTGGCTGCCCGTTCATCGCAGAAGTTGGCTCGCCGCTACTACGGGCCTTTTGAGGTGTTAGCTCGCGTCGGGGAGGTGGCGTATCGACTGAAATTGCCGTACGGGGCTCGCATTCATCCGGTTCTTCACGTGTCTCTGCTGAAGCCGTTCCAGGGGTCAGTTGCATCATGCAAACCCCAGCCGTTGCCGGCGGCCTTTGTGCACGGGAAGCCCCTTTCAGTTCCCGTACAGGTTCACGCACGGCGAGAGGTGTTACGGAATGGAGTTATCGAAGAGCAGGAATTGGTGGAATGGTCCGACGGGACCTTGGATGATGCCACCTAGGAGCCTATGGCGACACTACGACAACGCTTCCCTCACATACACCTTGAGGACAAGGTGGTCTTTGAACGGGGGAGAGTGTTACGACGGATAGGGCCACCCTCGAGAAGGAGATCGAGCAGCGAGCCCCGGGTGAGCATGTTGCGGATGACGATGTTACAGACGAAATGTTCCAGGACGGGAGTACCCATGCACGCGAAGAGGCCGACATTGGGACGCGACGAAGTGCAAGGACGAGGAGGCCTCCGGCTTAGTGGCAGGATTACTTAGTTTAATATTATCATTTTAAATATTTATTAATTGTGTAATTTAGATTTTCCTAGGTGGGCGTAATTATAAGCCCTTGCGAGGGTTTCTTTTTGGTTCTTTACCTCGATGCTGTTCTTGAATCGACGTAGAATTAGGGTAGGGAGAAAACTCTATTTAAGCAGGTTGTATGCATGCACGGTGATATTATGGAATAATACAACTCTTCTCCCCTTAAACTTCTTCCTCTCTCTCAAACCCTATTCTCTCTCTCTCTCTCACTCTCTCTCTCTCACTCTCTCTCTCTCTCTCTCTTCCCTTTCCTTCTACGGCAGTGGTACTGCTGTAACCGGCGAGAAGGTGCCGCAAAGCCTTCCCGAGACTAACTTGGTCCTATCACACTACTTCCGTTAAGCTTACGGGTACTTAACAAACCATTACAACATGAGAACTCGAGCCCCACGAGCCTTAATACACTTGCTTGGAGATACCGCACTCCAAGACTTCAACCCGAAGGAAAATACCTTTCCTTCGTACAACCAAGGGAAACAAGCTTCCCTTAACGTGTATAACACACTAAGAGCACTCAAGAACAAAGCTCTCTAAAAATAGTGGATATGAGTAAAATAATGCGCTCAAGAACACGTCACAAACTTTACAAAATGGCTCTCGAAAAGCTATGGAAAATATATGGATGTAATGCAATGAACAATGGGAGTTGTGAAGTAATGTGATGTGAAAAACAGACCCAAACAGCCCATTTTATAGTAGAAAAATAGGCTCCAACGGGTAGGAGTTGAATGGGGTTGATTGGAATAATTTGTGTGATTTGATTAAAATTGGATCTGCTGAAAATCACCATAACAGCGTAGTCCATTGCTTGGACATCGCTATTGTAGGCTTAGTGTTTGAAAATTGGGAAGCAACGGTCAAGCCAACAGCGATGTCCAAAGGGCCAACATCGCTGTTTTGGCTGTTGACTTCCAAACATGGAATGTTTTAGCCATAAATTCCTTCCAACGGTCAGGTGCCTACATCGATGTTTATTACTTGAACATCGCTGTTCAGGCTTGGCCTTGAAGGATGAAAAATGGCCTTACATCGCTGTTGCTGGGTCAACAGCGCTGTCCAAAACTTTCTGCCAAAGGCATTTTCTTTTGGCTTACGTTGAACATCGATGTAGAGATGTCTACATCGTTGTTCCAGATGTTTCTAGCTCAACAACGATGTACATTGAACAGCATCGCTGTTGGAAGACTTAACACCAAACTATGGTTTTTAGCTGCGAACGCCAGACAACGATGTTGGGCTTGTTTAGCCAGACCCATGGCTTGTTAGTCATGTCGTAAGCCAATGTACAAAAACAAAGTTCTCCAAATTAAAAACCAAGTGTTGAAAACATTTGTTTAATGTATTTTGCTAAGAAATCAAGTGAGACATCTTAAAAACCACGTCATTTAGGTAAAAACCATGGCTAGCCAAGTTCATGCCGTTTCGCATGGTTTTTGTCAAACGACCAAAAACGAAAAGTGGTTTTTGAAGTGTTTTTGTTGGAAAACTATTTAGATGTGCCCAGAAGTGAAAACAAATCATAAAAAGTTGAAAACCACTTGGTTGGTTCGGACGCCAAAAACCAACGCCAATAGTTGAATGCCGAACGCCGGTTTCTGGAAACCAAATGCCGCTTTCTGAAAGCCGAACATCGAACGCCGGATGGCTTGGTTTTTGGTTTGGGCAAACACCAAGTGTTTTAAGCTTATTTAAAAACTTGTGAAAACATTTTTGATGATGCATAAAGACATTTTGATGCAATTAGCCTAGAGAGCCAAGTTTTAGAAGTTTATGCCGGTCTTGATCACATTAAGACCGACTCAACTAATTTCTAAGTCTTCGTTCTTGGTTCTCATTTTCAATTCATCATCACGCCAAGTTCCTTCGCCTTTGATTTGCTCAATTGATCTTATTTTCACGGCGGTTTGGCATTATCAAAACCGGTCATAAAACGAACACGATTTTAGTACAACGTCGGCATAAACTCGTGTTCCAACACTTTTAAAATACATTTTTATTGCTACCTAAAATTTGAGTTTCTAAAATTTCGATCTTTAGTACATCGAGTTGATCAACTTTGATCATGACTTAAATAAAATTAACATTTGATATTCATATACAGAGTATATTTTAGTGTAAATAATCATAAAATAAAAAATATTGATAATATTATAATATGAATTTTCATTACAATTTTAAAAAGTTATTATAGAGTCAGATCAAATTATTGATTTGAATTTTGAATCAAATCATAATTAATCAGATCAGATCAAATCCAATCAGATCAAATCAAATCAAATCAGATCCAATTAGATCAAACCAGATCAGATCCCATTGGATCAGATCAGAACTACAAAAAATCAGATCAGGTCAGAAAAAATAAGTTGAACGGAACGGAGCCTAATTTGTGGCCAGTGTTTGGTCATGATAATTATGGTAATATTAATTGGGAAATTCGGACTGAGATGTCTGGGCCAAATAATATTTCTCATCATGAAGTCCTCCACTTTTTTGAGTTGTGAGAATTACCAACTCAAGAAAGTAAATAATTCATTCGAGTCCTATCTTCAATCTTCACGTGTTGTATTTTTGACGGATTGCTAAGATCATGATTTGCTAGTCCTCCTTGTCCTATGATGGTATTTGAGCATCTTCGAATATATCTTTTGATTTTTTTCTTCTTTTTCTTATAAAAAATGCAATGTGTATTTGTCTGGCCAATTGAGCCATACTTAGGTATAATAAATATCTTGACCAAATAGCTTAATAATAGAGCATATCAAATAACTCATCTCAATAATAATGATGTTAATAAGGAGCGATTTAGTGTCACGGTCATTCGTTTTGTCAACGGGACCATTGTTAACGCATATTAATGCATAACGTAATTAGTATCTCCGCGGGTCGATACAAATTGAATCAACTGTTAAATTAGTGTTAGTCTCACTAACCAATGTAAGAAATTATCTCTTCTGTGTCTCTTAGAGATGAATCTAAAATGTCTCGTTTAGAGGGCTTAAATGAATCCGGCATCCCCGATAAAAGCTTGATTCTCTTTGTTTTCTAAAAGCTTGATTGTTCGTTGAAATTCAAAATTCTCTCTAGGCTTCTTGGATATTTTAGGAGAAATATTCCGAAAAAATACTTTTTTGAGAATATACTCTTAAAGTTTGTAGTGTGATCTTCATGGACTTTGCATGGCTTGAGCATCGAACTTTATATGGTCACACTTAATCGGTCCCACGGTCGGTACCAAATGATGGCATTTATTGTTTTGACCAGTTTTATCATTTTTACTGTCTAAAAATGATCAACGAGCCTAACAATAAAAAAAATATGAATAAGCTATTTTCGACGTGAAAACCCCAATCAGGAGAAAACCACGGGCATTTTCCGACGGTACCATGCCAGGAGAGATTTTATTAATATCAAGGGTAGTACATCGGACATAATCTTGGCATTATATCAATTGATGGAGCTTTTTAGCTCTATAAAGAATAAATAATATAAGGAGTATTTTCTAAGTAGTGTGAGAGAGTATGATTAAATGATAGTGTATGAGAAAATATGGAAATTGGCCCCCCACATACTGAAAGCGAAAGATTCTTTTTATAGTGAGAGATGAGGGAGTAGTTATGGAGATAAATATGGTAGGGGAGTGAATGGTGGGAGTAATTATGGTAGGGAGTGATGGGTGGAGATAGTTATGATAATGAATGAATGGTGGATATAATTAAGGAAAGTGAGTTGACTATAAGGATAGTTATAGTAGGAGTAATTAGTGGCCAGTGTTTGGTGATGATAATTATAGTAATATTAATTAGGAAATTTGGACCGAGATGTCTGGGGCAAGTAATATGTCTGTGTGTGTAGAGAGAGAGAGTTTGGATCAGGTGAGAATGACATCTTATGAAAGAAAAAAGAACAATTAGTCACTGTTAGATTTTGCTGAATCTGTAGACTCGGTCCATCTCAAAAATGGATATGTTGGACCTTCAACTTTCTAGATCATATATAGCATTCTTCATTTATTTTTCTCTGTGTAAAATAATTAAGCCAAATATTTCAACTATTTCCGTTTACCATTTCCATAACATAGCAATCATTATCATTCATCCTCATAGTCAAAGAAGAGCATTTGTGATGGATTCTTCAATGCAATAAGGTATGTTCCATTGATTCATGAATTCCTATAAATTCTAATAATATGATGAATAATTTCGATGGATTCTTCATTATAACGCAATCATTTATCATTAAACCCTAAATTGATTCACGAAATCTGATAAAATTTATTGCTTTGATCCTATACTACTTCATCCTTCTGTGTATAGATGAAGATGTTATCTCTATCCTATTTGTGTAGATGCGTATAATTTTTAACACCATTCTTAAGCTTTTTCATCTTCACAATGGTACGGTGCTGAATTAATCTCAAGTCACACAACTAAAGGTTGCACACCACATGTTCTACAAAATGTCCTAAAGACGTCATTGGCACAAACTACTTCTGACCTTCTATATATCCAATGCGCTCTAAATATATTATATAAAGGTTTAAGTAGTCTTTTGTTTGCTCTTGTATGTATTCTATTATTTATGTTCAATGAATTTCCCTATGATTATGCTACAGTTGTTCAATCAATCTTTTGGTGCTCCCTTAAGTTTTTTTATGGTTACGTCGTTTGCTTATCAGATTCTCGATAATGCATTTTAAGATCAAAGACAATGCATTATTAGTTCACATGGTTTCCACAAGATGTTGAATGGGCATTCTAATTCATTTTTTGATTTGTTTTTGTCTCTCAATTAGCTTTGTGATATGTAAAATTATGTTCTTATAAAAGGTAAAGTGGGGATTCTATATGTAACACTCTAATCCGTCCAGATTTGCAACCCCTTTCGAACTAAAGTATAAACTTGGTAATCATAAATATTCAAAATCGTAAATATTCAAAACATTTCAAACAATTATTTATTGGAATAATATTATTCATAACAGAAACAGTACGGAGTTTTCAATGTTTCGGAAGCTTAAGAAATCACAATCACAAATTAAAACATAATTAATTTATGTCTTTTAATTCAAAACCATCACATCCATCCCGATTATCTCACCTCCGTCTGCTACCAGGATCATGTCACATCATTTTTTCTATTTACCTGCGTGTAGCAAATAAAACATATTAAACACTAAGCGTTGAAGCTGAGTAAGAATATCTAATGCATCAAACATCCACATAAATTGAATCTCAATTTATAATCAAATCATTTGATATCATGCACATATTCTATTATATGGTACATCCGGATATATTGTGCATCATGGTAAACTTGTAATTTTCGAATGAACACTATATTATTTTAGAATGAACATGCTACGCTGGTGGGCTTGAGATGAGTAATACATTGTTTCAGAATGAACACTAGGCTGATAAAAAAAGAACTTAAGCTGGATGTAGCTAGCTCTAGTTACACCCGGATGTACAATATAATCTCTCTAAGCAAATACGGAGTATTCATTTACAAACAAAGGCAAATTATATGGTACATAAGGATGTGCCTTTCTCTTGAAATATCATGACTAACTTGTAATTAAAATAATATTATAAAATGAACATTACATTGTTTCAAAATTAACACTATATTATTTCAAAATGAACACTACGATTGAAAATAGACATTCTATTGATTCAAATTGAACATTCAGTTGATTCAAAATGAAATATTCACCAGGTGTACAAAATTCTAAGTACAACCACGTGCACATACATTGTCGCAAATAATAATTTGTTCATGTTTGTATGCTCTTTATTTTAGTTTTATATTCATTGAATATTCATTTATGAACAACACAATGTTTTATAATTATACAAAATATTCATTTATCAGTAACATATATAATATTCATTTTTTAATTGTTGGGAAATAAAACACATAACACACACAAATAATCTACGAGAAATGAGAGAAACGGAACATGGACAACACACAAGAATTTAACGTGGTTCGGTTTCCCTAATCCATGGCTGCAACAGAAAGAATTTCTTATTTCACTTGTGGTGTCTCCCAGAATTACAAGTACAAGGGCTCAATATATAGGAGAAAAGAAATTAGGGTTACATAACATGGGCTGGGCCTACAAGTCAAGCCCAAGCCTCCACAAACCCAACATTCTCCCATTTGGAGGCTTGATAGTCATCAACTGCCATCCACCACGATTGATTGTACATTGAGTAATCTTCCTCAGCTCTCTTGTTAAAGCGGCCCTCTCATCAGACAACTGAAAGGCCCATTGAAGCTCTCCCAAACTCCAACACATCAATCACGGCAAAATCTGCCCCTGACTCGTCCTCGGCCCCTACCGGCTCCCACTGTAGACACACACTGCCGGATCCTGGAACATCCTGAGAACAAACACTCTCCATACTCAGCAAGAATTTTTCTGGAGATGTTCCTACAACTGGAATACTGGTTCTCCTAACCCAGTGTCTTCTAGGAAACTTGGCTGAAGCGCCTCTTGAGCTCCCACTGCCACAAATACCTCTGACTGGCCTCCTTGAACCTTTCCTCGCTCGTTCATCCTGAGTCTGATCTGTGGCTCTAGGTTTCTCTCTTGCATAGACAACCTTATTCTGCCCACGAGACTCTATGAACCAGACTTTGTTTCTCTTCTGAACTGGGATGGTCACTCCCTCATATGCTAACTCGACCATATACAGCGAACCTCTCTTCTTTCCATGGGCCATGACAAGATTTTCCTTCATGACCTTCCACTGCCCATCTCTAAACTTTACCTCGTGTCCCTGTTCGTCCAACTTCCTGACAGAAATCAAATTTTTCTTTAAGACTGGAACCACTCTGACATCCTTCAAAGTTCAGAAAGTGACTGGGTCTTCAACACCATGTCACCCATGCTCGTTACCTCAAGAGCTCTATCGTTCGCAAGTCGTACCTTTCCAAAGTCTCCGATAACCAGATTCTGCAATGCTTCACCGTTGTGGTAGCATGAAATGAAGCACCAGAATCCATGACCAAGGAATCCACATTGCTTTCCTCACAGCAAGTCAGAGTGACCTCCTCTTCACTCACAGAGCCTTCAGCAATGTTCACTTTTTTATCATTCGGGCATTGATTCCTAAAATGCCCCACCTTCGTGCACTTCCAGCACGTTACACCTGAGCTATCTTGATCTCGAGTTTCGACTGACTCCTTTGTCTGTTCTTGCTCCCACTACCTCTGCTATTTCTTCTTCCTCTACAAACATGAAGCAATTCACCAGATGACTCCCTTGAACTCTTTCTTCTGACATCCTCGCCAAGAACGAGATCTTGAATCTGATCAAAGGTGAATCCATCGGGTCCGACTAAAACGGTAACCGCTGTAACCGTTCCGGACCAAGTATCAGGCAAAGACGATAGCAGTAACAAAGCTTGAACTTCATCATCGAACTTAATCTTCACTGACACAAGTCTTGTTAAGGCCGAATTCATCTTATTGATATGCTCGGTAATTGAAGTGCCTTTTTTCATCCTTGTGTTCACCAGCTCTCTAATCAGAAAAACTTTATTCGCTGCAGAAGGCTTCTCGTACATGTTAGACAACGCTTCCATAATTCCCTTCGCTGTCTTCTCCTTCAGAATGTTGAACGCAACATTATTGGTCAACGAGAGACGTATCACGGACATAGCTTTCCGATCCAAACTTGCCCAATCTGCATCCGACATCTTTTCTGGCTTATCACCTAAAACCACGTCAAAATCTTTCTGAACCAGAAAATCTTCAATTTGCATCTTCCACCAACTGAAATCTATACCATCGAACTTCTCAATTCGGAACTTCCCATCTTCCGTCATATCACATGACTAGGCGAGATACTCGGTACAACTAATTTCAGATCTTGGTAATTTTTTCTCAGAAAATCACACCCACCTCAAGAATTAAATTAGCACAAACCAAAAGTCCAAATCCAAAAAGTACCATAAAAAACACAAGTGGGCTGATCAGGTTTACGGCCCAACTCCCCCTTTTTTCCTTCCTTCGGTCCAGCAAAAAACCCTTTTTTTCCTTCGCACCTGCAAAGCGAAAAATCAGCCCTCTACTTTTGTTTTTTCGGTCAGAGCCTTAGCAATCTTTTTCAATCTAATAAAGCGGCAGCGCAATATGAGGCAATCTACACTGGACGGTGGTAGCTCGACGACAGCTGGGTCAATGGTAGCATCTTTCGATCTGGATGACAACGACGACTCCTCAACACGGCAGCGATGGCTCCTCAACGCGGCTTGACTGCACGCGGACGGTGGATATTATCCTCGAACCAGGAGCGTCGTTCAAAGGACAGCAGTGGCTCCTACTGGGTTAGTGGCGCTCTCGATCTGAAACGGAGGCAGCTCCTCTGCGTGCGGCTGGCGACAGTTCTGGACGAACCGGTGGTGGAATTGCACCTGCGTGGCGCTACTCTCCGTCACAGCGGATATTCGCAGCGGCTCCTCTTTTTCTGACGCACAATCCAACGATCCAGATCTGTAAACCCTAGGTGACAGCTTCTCGCTATTTGTGTTCTCGTGTTGTAGAACAATCAGGCTCTGATACCACTTGTTGGGAAATAAACCACACAACACACACAAGTAATCTACGAGAAATGAGAGAAATGGAACACGGATGACACACAAGAATTTAATGTGGTTCGGTTTCTCTAATCCATGGCTGCAACAGGAGGATATTCTTATTTCACTTGTGGTGTCTCCCGGAATTACAAGTACAAGGGCTCAATATATAGGAGGAAAAAACTAGGGTTACATAACATGGGTTGGGCCTACAAGTCAAGCTCAAGTCTCCTCAAACCCAACATTAACATCTACATTCCAAATTCATATCTTCTCTCATTAAGGGTGACACTCTACTTCTTTAACACAACTTAATCTCCACTGAAGGGATCGACACAACTTCTACCTCTCTTTTATGACCGATTCCAGACTTCGCTTTGTCATTTTCTTCTCTTCCTCTTCCTTTGCAATCACATCGATTGATCTCAAATGTTGTCTCTCCCTATCTCAATTTTAACTAAATTATTAGTATGCCATGTTGTACGATAAGAAAAGTATAACTGCCTATATCATATAATATATGTACTTAATAGTAGTACTTAGTAGAAATTACTCCCTCCCTCCTAAGTCCAAATTTATCTTATCAATTTCATATTCTGTTTTTCTTCTTCTAACATTCTTTTGTTGTTAGGGATTAATAATAATATTATTATTATTATTTGGAATAGTTATTATTATTATAATTATTATTTTGGACTCATTAGTAATATCATATTGTATGAACTAGAAAAATCATTTATTTAAAAATTACATACTCATTATCTTTTTTTTTCGATTATTAATTTTTTAAGTTAGACTCGTTTTCTTTTTTAATAAAGTTGAACTTTATAATATGAATTATTCTAAAGACTTCACCAACCACCAAAAAATAATTTTGATATCGAGAGATATTAGAACTCAATCTCCTATGCTCAATAAGGCGGTCTAACTTTTCCAAAATTTTCTTCCTAACATGTAATATAATTATGTTTTTAAAATGAAAAATATTATGTGCAATGTCCTTTTTAAATTTTTCACTAAAAATGTACTATTTACCTTTCTCATACATAAATAATATATTTTGAAATGTCCATGACTAGGGTCATCTCGAAGAATCAGAGGCTTGGAATGACACGAAGAAAATTGGCTATTGTATTATAGTGAAGTAAATTGTATCATTTAAATTCTTAATACTAATTATATATGTGTATACACACACACACACACACACACACACACACACACACACATATAAGGGCTGGTTCACGTGAGAATGTACCTTGGTGAAAGCAATAAGAATAAAATCTAGCTTTTGGATCTGATGCATCGTGCGGCTCAGATTACATCCCGCGCTCAGATTTTGAGATAGTGCATTTTCAAAGGATTTTGGTGCATTTCGACATGACGCATTTCCAAACCATTTTGGTGCACCTAATTTTGATGTAATCTTGACCCTTAGATCTCACAATCTAAAGCACCCGATTCATTCTTATTTCTTTCATAAGATCACATTTTCACCAGAACCTATATATATATGTGTATGTATGTATGTATGTATGTATGTATGTATGTATGTATGTATGTATGTATGTATGTATGTATGTATGTATGTATGTATGTATGTATGTATGTATGTATATATATATATATATCTGTGTGTGTGTGTGTATGAGATTGACTCTAGTGAGATGACACTTTACGGTGAGATGACATACTTCGGTGAGATGACGCCAAGCTCACCACACTACACTACAAAGCTCACCTAGAAATGAACCAAAGCTCACCATTTTGAACACCAAAACACACCTTTTTTTAAAATTTGAAATTTTAAAATTAATAAAAAAAATAACAACACCGGTCAACCACCGGTTAGAGGCAGTGGTGCAGTGGCGGCCCCAACTGACAGCGGCGGCGAGTGGCGACTGGGGGTGGAGGAGCGGCGGTCGGCGATTGGCGGGGAGGCAGCGGTCAAAGGTCCCGATCAATGGTCAAAATCTAGTCATCACCCCTTCCTTTTATTTTATGTTTTCAAAAAAAATTCAAAGTGTTGAAAAAATGTGGTGAGTTTTGGTTTATACTTTGGTGAGCTTTGTAGTTGTTTTTGGTGAGCTTTGAAGTGGCTCGTGGTGAGCTTTGCATCATCTGACCGTAGCATGTCACCTCACCATAAAGTGTCATGTCACTGGAGTCAGTCCCTATATAAGTGTGTGTGTTTTTGTATGTATGTGTGTGTGTGTGTGTGTGGGATTGACTCCAGTGAGATGACACCTTACGGTGAGATGACGCAAAGCTCACCACATTACACTGCAAAGCTCACCAATGACCAATGTAAAACTCATCTGGAAATAAAGCAAAGCTCACCACTTTGAACACCAAAACTCACCTTTTTTTAATTTTGAAAATTAAAAAAATAATTAAAAATAAAATAGCAACACCGGTCAGCAGCGGCGGCGCGACGGAGACTGGCGGCGGCCGGAAGTGGTGGTCGACGACGGTGGTCGGCGGCCGGTGGTGGGCGGTGATGGTCAACGGTCAATGGTCAAAGTCTAGTCAGCATCCCTTCCTTTGATTTTTTTTCAAAAAAAATTCAAAGTGTTGAAAAAATATGGTGAGCTTTGTAATTGTCTTTGGTGAGCTTTGCAGTGGCCAGTGGTGACATTTGCGTCATCTGATCGTATCATGTCATCTCACTGGAGTCAATCCATATATATATATATATATATATATATATATATATATATATATATATATATATATATATATATATAAAATATAATATAACGGCCTGTTACAAGCGGTGGGGCCCAAGGCCCGTTAACCTTGGACCACCCCGAGCTCTGTTAACCCCGAGACAGATAACCCACTATAGTAAGGCCAATGTAAGCCAAATCTAAAGCCCAGCCCATAAGCTAATAAATGCCCAATCTAAAACCCAACCCCATAAGTTTAAATCTACTTTTTAGGGGATCACTCGTCATTTTTGTTACTCCCATACCGGCATGCTTAACTCCTTGAAAATATGTCCAAAGTTGCCCTTCTGAGGATCAAACTCAGATGATAAGGTTCTCCATTCAACCTTGTGACCATCTCAACAAGATAGTTTTGGCCGGGTGACCATCCTACCTATGCCCTGAATGTAAATATATTTAATTTTCAAAAAAGGATGAACCCCATTCTCGAGGTTTTCTTAAACTCGACCACACGATTACTAAGAAAAGTAATTTAAACTTTGATTGCAGATTGATGCCGCAAAATAAAGCTTGTATTTGATACTTGTAGAAATTCTATATTTAGTATAATTATGTCGGAGTGCATTTTACAAAAATCAAATTGAAGCTACTCATTATCATTTCATTCTTGCTTTTGCTAATGAGCATATCATTTTCAAATGAGAGGAATAGACTTTTATTTGGAGGTGTTCTAAAGACGCCATTCTTTGTCATTTTATTTAAATTTTCGCTCCTCCATTGCCCAGGCAAAGCTCCCTCTTTGGGCAGCCCGGAAATCGTATTCCAGATATCTCTACCCAAGAAGATCTAAATCTGAGTGGGTACTTGCTTTGGATGCGAGTAGACGAGCTTTCATCGAATTCTCTGAAGAAAGAGCAGTGCTATTTGGATTTTTTTTGAGTTTGTTCTGGATTCAATCTGGGACGGCGGAATTTAGCTTGAGGTGAGCTGTGGTAGTGGTCGGTGGTGAATAATGCGGCGGCGGGCGGCCGATTACCGGCGCCCGGTTCGGAGGAGTTTTTCTTGTTGGATCTGGACGCTGCTCGGAATATTCTCTATCGCAGGTTTCGTCTTGTTTGTGTTGCTTCAACTGAATGAAAGTGAGGATCATGTAGAGCAGCAAATTTTTGTAAGTTCAGATTCTCTAATCTTATCTTGTTGCCCCGGATGCATTCTGTTTGAATTTTGGGAGAAGGGAATTTTTCTTTATGCTTATGCTCTTGATATGAGTTATTTTTTCTATTTACACTTAAATGCATTTTCCTGTAAACACATCTCTGTTTCCTACTCCAGATGTAAACCCTAGGTCCTATTTTTGTATCGTATATGCTGGATTTTGTTTTGCTCTTAACCCTTGATGCGTTGTTGCATCCAACATAGAAATGTTACAGAATTGATTCCTTAGGTCCACATTCACTATTTCTTTTTTTTTGCTTTGGCATTTTACCCTTGATTTTTTGTCCCTTCAAATTGGAATAGAAATAGAAACGCTACGCGATAATTATTTTTGCTCAAGCTTCTTTGGTATCAATTTGGAATAGAAATGGAAAAGATTTACAATTGGATCCATAACGACCATGAGAGTCCGTTTGTTTGCCTCAACTCAGATTCTTCCAAGATGTTGAGTTATACTTTTGCTGGCATATGAAAACACATGTGTTGCACTGAGCAACATCAATTGTTAGGAAGTACTTTAATCTCCCTAGATCCTTTATCTTAAAATGATAAGACGGATGATGTTTGAGACTAACAGTCCTTTAGAGTCATTAGCTGCGATAACAATATCTACCACAGTACCACATAAATTATTAAAAGAGTACTATGAGATGCCAAGTGTTAAGGAACACAAAATGATCAATCTTGCTTTGTTCAATCTGTTATTTGGAAAGTAACAAAATTGCAAACAGTAGTGTAAAAACATTGAAGATCATTAGAATATACATTTTGTTTTTCTCCGAAAATCATACCAAAATTTTTATGGACAAACATGAAACTTGAATTTTAGACGTTGGACTGCCATACGAATGATGCTTATGGATAATTGGCATTTGTCCATTCCTTATGGGAGGATGCATTAATATCAGCATCCCTTGTGGTTAAATGTTCATGAAGTCATTGTCTCAAAACCCAAACATCATCTGCATTACATCGATCCATCAAATTCAATATAGAAAAAAAGCTCACGATTGAGTTTTTATGGGACTCCCAGAAAAGGAAAAAAGAAATAAGGCCTTTCCCTTTGGACACATGTCCATGCCATATGGTTTGGTAAGATTAGCACACTCAGAATCATTTTCCATATTGAATAGAAATGGACAATAACAAATTGTGTATTGTTTTTTAAAAAGACGTTCTTTCTCCTAAACAAAACACTCAGTTTGCAAATGCAAGTGTGAGTTCTTTTGAGTTAGATTACACACTTTTTATTCTATTAGAACTAGTACACTTTAAGGCAAGTTTAATTTGAGTTCTTATCCAAGAGAATGTGTTACAGATGCATTAACATGCGTAAAAGAAGAAGATATTGATCCGTCCTCCCTCGAACTTGAGCTTGTCCGCAAGCTCAAGGTAGAGAGACCCAAACTTCGCAACCCATTAATTGTGTCTTCCAGTGCTCTAGAATTGTCTAGGATTGCATTGAAAAGTAACTGCTTGTAATAGTTTTCAATAGTCCTAGTCTGTATCAAGAGGCTCAAAACTATTACTCCCTCCGTCGAATTTAAGCTTGTTTGCAATCTCAAGGTAGAAAGACCCAATCTTCGCAACCCATTTAGTCATTGCCCTAGAATTATCTAGGATCGCAATGAAAAATAACTGCTTGCAGAAGTCTTCAATAATCCAATTCTGCATCAAGACCCTCAACTTGCCACGGCGTCCCAGTCCTGGGGTGGCTCGAAACAGTCAAATCAAAGAAGATGTCGATCCTTCTTTGCCCTTGGTTCGAAAGAGGGAGAGCAGTCTGTGACTAGCTTCTCATAATAAAATTCTTAACTTCAAGCATTGATGATCCTATTAATGATTGCGGGATTATAAATAGGCAAAGCCTTAAAAGAGACCTATCATAGCATCTTCACTCATTCCCCCCACTCCCCCCTCCCCTCCCTCATATTTTTAATGACACATCACTTTCATTCTTAACTTTCCTCACACCACTTTAGTGGTTTTTCACACTTTCATTTCTCTTTTTTAATAGTGGCACTCACATGTAATAAATTTATTTTATTTACATCTCTTAATATACGGAGTAATAAATTAAGATATTTTATTTTTTAAATGTAACTTAAAATGTAAAAGTTTTTTTTTAAAAGTTTTAGTAATAATATGTTTGCCACAAAAAATTGAATACAAATTTTAATAATTGTAAAAAAAATTCTACCATTGTGATTTTTTAATTCTTCATTTTTCCTCGCTTTTGTTATTTCTACTCTCTTTTTTTCTCTTTTTTCCCCTGTTCTTTCTTCTTTTTCTCTCTTTTCTTTCTTTTTTCTGTGGGGAAAGTGAGTTCCCTTCTCCCCTTCTCTCTCTTTCTTCCCCTCCTCACTCTAATCATTCCCCCACTTTCTCATATTCCACATCACTATTTCTCAAACATTCCCCTACCACTAAAGATGCTCTCATAATCATACTAGAAAACATAAATCCATATTATTAACTAGAATAGAATAATACTACTAATAAGAAACTGGTAATATTTCTATGAATAATTGGAAGCGATAATTGTAGTAGGAAACTATAATAATTATTAAATCTAGGAAACAAAAAACAACAACAACAACAACAACAACTAATTGAATATGAAACCTTGGATCTGTAGTGGGCAGGACCGCAGGAGTAAGGGTAGGGGTAGATCTAGGATGAGTTGGAAGTAGGTGATTAGGCATGTCTTAAGACTTTTAGAACTTTATGAGGATATGACCTTAGATAGGAACATGTAGATCTAGGACCTGGACTAGGACTAGAGTAGTTGGGTAGACTATTGAGCCTTGGTAGTAATTGCAAGTGCATTTGTTCTCTTGTCTTTGTGCACAGTCTATGCTTGGGGTCTAGGTTCTAGAGTAGGTTTGTGAGCTTTTTGTCTTTGTGCGTTAGCCTTGCCCTTAGTTTTTCCTTGCTACTACATTATTCTCACTTTGTTCATGCCTTTGTGTCTACTTTGTTGGTTTACTTTGACTGTGCGTGAGCTGTTGGTCTTTTGAAAACATCTCCTCTACTATCGAGTAAGGTTATGTCCACATGCACTTACCCTCCCGAGACCCTACTTTGTGTGGGATTCCACTGTGTCTGTTGTATATTTACATATTACATGATATTCATCATTTTCCATCACACCTACCATTTTTTTTTAGTTTGCTATAGTAGCTGGAGCTTGTATATAGAATACAAATTTAGTAACTAAGAGTCTAAGACTATAAGAGTGAATAATAAAAAATACATAAATACAAACATTTTTTTCATTCTTCTTGTGCATACAAGAAGAAGAACCACAACCGTGAGAGGAAGAAAGAAATATTGCAAGATTTATTTAAAATTCAGCCTAGATAAACATCAGGCAATCCAATAGATGATATGTAAACACAACCCAATTTGTTAACATGAATCACATATAAGAAAAAAGAATTAATACTGTTTGAACTTTGAAGAATGGTACATGGCCTCTAGAAAACGACGGGGTGATGGTATTTTGAGTGAAAGTATCATATAATGGTTGCAGATTATATTGGAGTGTAGAGGACTTGATTGAATTATCTTATTAACATTGGTAATGTTTATTTGTATCAATATTTAACTTTTACGAAATAAAAACACCTAGAAATAATTGTCCCTGCTTAAGTAAAATTCATGAATACAGTACTCATGTTGTTGCATCACTGGAGCCTCTCTATGTCCCCTCAACTCAAGCACTCTATCTTCCTAACGTGTACCATTACGTCTTTGTTTTGAATGTATCCAAACAACCGCAGTCGATCTTCTATTACTCCCTCCATCTGTGTATGGTGTATGTGAAGATATTTCCCGGATGTAGGGAGTACTTTATAAGTAATAGGCACTACTTCTAGCTGTCGGGAAGATTGCAGTAGGTAAGAGATGGTTGATTTTGATAATTACAGCATGTTCGTTATAAAGATGCAGCAAAACAAGTGAGACGATTGGAGAGCATTTCTATTTAGGGGACGAGGAGGAGAGGCAAGTTACGAAGGAGTTCCTGGCCATGCCATATTAGAGTTGTGTAATACAGAGGGGATTTGAGTGAGTGTTGTTGGTGTTAGGTCCAATTTAGTTCTCTGTTGTTTGGTGTTGTTCAGTAAACAATATCCTCTTTGTTTTCTATCTTTTGTTTCTCCATTGCTCGATATGCTTATATTTTCTTCGTGATTTGTTGCTTGCCTGCAATCTTTATTTGTCTACGTGCGTTTTTTTTGCGCCTTTACATTACTTGCACTACTTTTGGGCTCCTCTCAAAAACAGCCTCCATACTCTTTAGGTTAGAAATAAAGTCTCCATACCTCTTGTTTTCCATACCTATTACATACTGTGATATAATCACTATGTTTGGTTTGGTTTACTTGCATTTTACATGCGGCGGTTCAAGAACCAATTTAAATATTGAGTTAATGATATTTTGATCGATCTTGCATTAGTTTTTTGTGGTATATTGTTTAATTTGTTGAAATGGGGTTTCAACCTGCTATGGAGAATAAGCTAACCTGTTCTTACCCAGAAAACTCTAACGAATTCTGCCTAATTAACTAGCATGAGAAAACTCCCCCAGTCCGAAAATAAGGTCCCTATTTGATGTTGTAGGGTCAAAATTAAAAAACTTTGACCAAAAGATTTGAAAAGAATCTATTGAATAATAAAGTAAATTAAATATCATTTGATTTGTCTTGAAATGTAATTTTGAAATGCATTTTTATGAAACTTATTAATGTATAAATATAGATATTAATGGTCAAAGTTTCACAATAGATATTGTGAAAAGTCAAATGGGAACTTATTTTAGGAAAAAGGGAGTATACTAAATCGTACATGCTTAGAAAATGATGCCCATTTTCTAAGTGTTTTTACTTTTCTGTCAATTTTAGGATGCCCATTTTCTTTGCTTTTCCCTCTTCGTTGTAAAAGTGATACAACGTATATACTACTCCATCCGTCTCATTGTTTTTGTCCCATTCATTATCCACAGAGTCAAACTAAATCTTCTTTACAAATTGTCATATATCATTTGTTTTAAAAAATATATTCATGTCATCTCTTGTTTGGTAGAACTTTTGATGCAGTTTTTGAATATGTAATTTTAATTTTTCATTCCACAAATCTTTAGATAAATTACATCAAAAAAAGTTCCAGTCAAACATCGTAAACCAAAAAGAGAAAAATAGCAGGACGGAGGTAGTATTCTACACGCTTACAGTTGGAGGGGATTTTAGGTATATGTTACAGATGCCTTTGTAGGTATTCCATTTCTGAGCTAGGTAATATTAAGTATTTTTATCATTATTATCTCTAACATTCTTTAAGATCATGAAGTAATAGAAAAATTTCTGTGCTAAACTTTACCATTTTATAATTTAACAAATTGGAGCGTCCTCTCTTTTTCAGGATAGGCATCCCAGAAATGATGAGATTGCACATGAGCATCTAAATATTACCCAAGAAATATCAAATGCTAGATCATATGCTAGGCAATTAACAGAGCAGATGACACTTGCCAAGGCATATGTGGTTATAGCGAAGGAGCGCAATAACCTTAATCTTGCATGGAAGCTTAGCATGAAGATTAGAAGTGGCCAATTATTGCTTTCAAAGGCTGCTATGAAGGTGGACCCCATCTCTTCAGATGAAGCTGAACCGATCATCCAAAGCCTATCGTCTTTGATTGTTGAGGCACAAGACGTGCACTATGACATAGCAACCATGATGATGACTATGAAATCTCATATTCAAGCTCTAGAAGAGCGTGCAAATGCGGCTTCTGTTCAGAGCACCGCGTTTGGGCATTTACTTTCTGAATCTCTACCGAAAAGCCTCCACTGCCTCGATATCAGTCTCACGACTGATTGGATTAACAACAAGGCATTAATGGATCTTGCTGATAAAATCAGAAACTCTCCCCGTTTAGTGGACAACAATTTGTACCATTTTTGCGTGTTTTCGGATAATGTGGTGGCTGTCTCGGCTGTGGTGAACTCAACTGTTTCCAATGCTGATCATCCCAGGCAGTTGGTTTTCCATATTGTGACAAACAGGGTCCATTATGGAGCAATGCATGCATGGTTCCTTAGCAATGATTTTAGAGGGTCTACCATAGAGGTGAAGAACTTTGAGGATTTCACTTGGCTGAATGCTTCTTTCTCTCCTGTTGTCCAGAAGCATCGTTCTTTGTTGAGTCACCTTCGGTTTTATATCCCGGAAATCTATCCCCAACTGGAGAAGGTGGTTTTTCTTGAAGACGACGTGGTGGTGCAGAAGGATCTCACCCCACTTTTCTCACTGGAATTGCATGGAAACGTAAATGGAGCAGTGGAAACATGTCTGGAATCATACCATCGTTTCTACAAGTATCTCAACTTTTCAAACCCGCTTATTGGGTCAAAGTTTGACCCGCAGGCCTGCGGGTGGGCATTCGGGCTGAACATTTTTGACTTGATCGGTTGGAGGAAAGCGAACGTGACCGGACAGTATCATTACTGGCAAGAACAGAACAGTGAGGGGAGTATTTGGAAGCTGGGGACCACACTTCCTCCGGGCCTATTAGCTTTCTATGGGTTGATAGAGCCGTTGGATAGGAGATGGCACGTTCTAGGCTTCGGACACGACATACATATAGACAAGCACTTGATCGAAAGTGCAGCCGTGATTCACTTCAATGGGAACATGAAGCCATGGCTGAGCTTGGGCTTTAGTATTTACAAGCCTTTGTGGGAAAGGTATGTGAATCTCAGCAACCCATTCATCATGGGTTGTTTCCACCATTAAAGCTCCTCACACCATTTACAGTTGCATTTTCACATGGTTAGATTTAGGGGTTTTTGAATCATTAGTGTTTGGGAAAGCAAAAAGGATTCTTCTAAGCCAAAACTAATTACTTCTTTTTTTGGATATAAGATTGTTCATGGAATTAATTTTTTTTGTGAAGAGTTTATATATTACAATGGCTAGAGAAAAAGGAATTATTGAGGAATGGTATGGTATGGATAATCATTCAAACACACTTCTTACACACATACTCTCATGGGGTCAGTTGCACCAAATCCCCATATGATATATCAAATTTTGATGTTTGGGCATTGTAAATGACCTCCATACCCTTTGTTCTATAAATGGATGTTCATTGGATAAATTTGACGTCTGAGTTTATTTTTGTGCAGTTTAATGTTTGTTTTTGTTCTGTTTGGAGTTGGGACATTGAAGATTTGTAAATAAGGCCCTGTTTGGCATTGAATTGTTAGTGGTTACATGTTTATTATGTACGTACACTCTTTGGGTAGATGTTTGTGAGTTGCTTGTGTCTGTGAGAGTTTAAGAAAAACTGCTGTGTGAGATGAGCTGTTTTGTCTTAAAGGTAAAAAATTGAACATTTAAAACACTGTTTTTTAAAATGCTTTATTATTTATTAACTTTTTTAAATCCAACCTTTTGATCCCTAAAATGCTGTTTTAAAAAGCGGTTAGCCAAGTACTTATAATAGCTGATGGACTATTCATTGTACCCTTTGTAAAAAAAAATCTTTGTTTAAAAAAAATCGTTCTAAAATGAGTTATAGTTGATCGTTGACTAATTTCTCTTACATGTATGTAAAATAGTTGATGTGGAGCTTATATGTGAAGCACTAGTTGCTTCATTTATCAAAGTAGTTGCTTAGGGATACCTTAGCTAAAAAACCCTTCACTAAAGATGCTCTTACAAATACAAGTATACAACTAGGGAGGGGTGAGCATTTGGGGCTTGAAACTACGGTGAAAACTGAATCGCTTGTTTTGGACCAATCTAATTTTTCATTTTACTACAAAATAGGGCGTGCCGAGTCAGTTCCTTTATTTGCGTGGGTTGGGGCAATTATCAAATTTTAGTTTTGTAGGACCAGGATCGGTTCGTTTATATGTATAGTACGGACTAATTATTTACTCGATTCATTTTAATTGATTTGGATGAAATTGAATTCTTTAGTTCCAGTTTATTGTTAGCACTACCAATTCTAAATCTAGATTTTTTTTTGCTACCAATTCAAGTTTTATAGTTTGAATTCCGTGTACCAAATGGAGTCTTAGATTCCGTTTGGTACACAGAATTCAAACAATGGAATTGGAATTGAAGACTTTAATTCCAATTCTGATTTTGGTAGCACAAAAATTATGTGGATTTGGAATTGATAGTGCAAAAAATGAATTGAAATTGACAGAATTCAATTCTATGGAATTGAATCGCATGAAATTTTAATTCCAGTTCAATTCCAATTCCACCAATTCCGTATACCAAACGAACCCTTAGTGTATTTGTAGCACCATATCTTAGTCCTTCCGCTTTAATTTAAATTGGCTGTTTCAGTTTACGATGTTTGATTGAAATCATTTTCAATTTATTTTATACTATGAAAGATATTGAAGAATTTAAAAATAAAATTCATATATATTTAAAAACTAGATCGAAAATTCTATAAAACGGCAAGTGACACTTGATTGTATTATTTTATCAAATAATATTGAAAATGGGCAATGAAAATGATTAAAATTTGATCCTATAAATAATGAATAGACAACTTAAGTTAGATAGAGGGAGTTTTGTTTTTGTTTTAGTGCAACCCTCTAGCTTATTTGCATAACTTTCACCACTGTATCAAGATAGTGAATTTTTGTATAAAGCAATAATATGTTTGGTTCTCATGACATTGGGAATCAATGTCACGGATGACCCGAAGTTCTTACGATGCATCATTCAAAAAATTGATAATTCTTACCCTTTAGTCCACTCCCTCCACTCTAGATTCACATGAACCCACCCCAACTCCCTTCATATGCACCTCCGATATCCTAAACTTAGTTACCTTGGAATCAAAATGATGTGACAATATGGAAAGAGTGACAAACAAAATCGATCATGCTCTTTAAGGTATAATTGAACATATATTCAATAATTTCATTCATAATTTAGTAATACAAATTCAACATGCATATATATATATTCTCACATTTTAGCTCGACCAAATGTAATTATTAAAGCATTGGGAATACTATTTATTTATTAGTAACATATATATGCTACAATAATATAGGTAAATGAGATATTATTACCTAACACTATATATGGAACATGCATGATAAAGTAAACAACAAAAAAAGGGGTAGAAATAAAGAGGTTTTGAGGGGGAGACAAGGGCACATGCATGTGTAGACACACCAACAATGGCCCCATGTCCATGCAGATCAACCATGTGCCTTATGTATATATATTATCTCTCACTGATTTGATCTCCATGTTCCTCGTACATACATACATGCATCATGATGATGATGGTGATGATGATGATGGTTCACATCACTGAACATGCATTTGGGTTGTCGTCACTAAACATCTGTGGTGGAGGATGATGAGCTTCCACTCCATATCCATAGATCTCTTGATGACCATACCTGTTAGCATAGATCATGCATTATATCATTTGGGAATTTACTCATATTAGTTTTTCCCATTAGATCTTACATTATATGGTTGGATACTTGGAATTAATTAACAAGTTCAACCACCAGCTCGAGCTTATGGTTTTAGGTCCAGAAAAAGTTTCAGACACTAATTAACACGCCTCTCATGATCAGCTCGAGCTTATGATTAGTTTTTGCTCGAGATTATAAAAATTTTGATATCAATTAAAAGCTGAAGGTCGTTGATTGTAGTTGTAGGCCCACGAAAAAGAATCTTACTCTTGACAATAATTGTGTTAAGTTCAGAGTCATACGAGTGGTGTACCACGTATGACATCATTTTTGTCATCAATGTGTCTCAGAGACACACGGTCTATGTGTGTCAGTGAGACACAGTATATGTAGTGTGCCTCTAGCATTTAATTTTTGTAAGTTTATAGTATACCTCGGGGGAGGTAGAGGAGGAGACGGGACGTGGAGGTGGTAGTAGTTCGGCGGAGGGTAGTAGTAGTAGAAAAACTCGTTCTTCCTCAGTTCCAGCTTCGGGTCGTCTTGATCTGGAAACCCGACGACAGTCCCTGCCATTTCAGCAGGGACGTCAGCAGGAGGGGCAGCTGCCCCTTCTTTCTTTTCTTTACCAGCGGCGTCTTCCTCGCCGCCGGTCTTCTCCTCTTTTTTCTCTCCTCCTTCTGCGGCGGAGGTCTTGTCCTCCTTCGGGCTCTCCTCCGCCCCGTCCGCCGCCTTCTCGGGCTCCACCTTCACAATCTCCACCCTTTTGCCGGTCCTCTTGGCTATGTAATCCACTAGGGTTGGGGGCTCAAAGATGCCCTTAACCGTCACCAACGAGCCCTTAAAGTCAGGTTCAACATTTTCTACACCTAAACAAAAAAAAAAGATCCCAAAGAATAATTTTCATGTGATGAATGTGAATCACAACGTTTCACTATCAAATGTCAATGCATTTTAGAGTATCCGATGATTTGACACTGAATATGCAGAAACAGAATCTAAAGAGCCTAATATTTTATTCTAATTAAAGATTATATTGACATGATAGGGAATAAAATCCCAAAAAATAAAAAATAAAAAAAGAATGAACCCATACTCCGAAAGGCATAAAGCTGAGCACTTTACTGGTACAGAATTATTAACTCCCTTTATTTGCATTGCTACTTTTTGCTTAAAAAATACTACAAACAAATAAATTAAATTTTATTATATTTAGTTAATCTTTGAATCTTCAAAAAAATCACAAACAAATTAAATATATTAAATCTAATTTTCGAAAAAAATGAGAACTAAAAAAAATTAAATATGAACTACGTAGTATATATTTCTATTCATGAGAGAAATGTGAAGATTATGGTGAAAAAATGGAAAGATGATTTTTAGAGGGAGAGCAAATTAAAAAACAATGGAGAATGACCAAATATGATATAAACACATAGAAAAAAATTAAAATATGATTTTCATATTTTTATTTTCAAAACAGAAATTACAATGCCAGTAATGTCAAAATATAATACAAAAAAAACTATGAAATGTCAATATATAGTGAAAAATTGTCCCTGTATAAAATTCTATTTTGAGGATAAACATGTCATTCTTATTTTGGGAATAATGACTACTCCATCCAGTCCCCAATTTGATTACAAATTGAGGTTTATGAGGAAAAATTTCTCACTTTTGAAATCATTTTATTTACAAACCGGTATATCAAAAAGAAATAAAAATTACATATTAAAAAATTACATCAAAAGTTCTACAAAACAACAGGTGACAAAGATATAATTCATTTTATCAAATACTTAGGACCCGTTTAGTACATGGAATTCCAACTATGGAAATGGAATTGAAGACTTCAATTCCAATTGTGGTGTTTGGTAACACAAAAATTATATGGAATTGGAATTGATAGTGCAAAAAATGAATTGGAATGAGTGGATTCAATTTTATGGAATTGAATCATATGGAATTTCAATTCCAATTCAATTCCAATTCCATTAATTCCGTATACCAAACGGACCCTTAATGAAATCGCGTAAATAAACAAAAGTTATCGATAGGAGAGAGAGAAAAAAAGATTGTAATCAAAATGATGACGGAGAAGTATTTTTATTCCAATTTTAGGTAATTTCTAGAGAGAAAGACAAAAATAGAAATGAAACATAGAGAACACATAAAATTACTTCAAATAGAATACCAAGTACCGGGATTTCTTCAAATATAGAAACAAATACTATCTTTAACAACTTGCATATAAAATTTATTTTTGCTCGAATCTTAATTAAATTTGAAAATACAATTTTGAGATTCGAACTTGCGATTTCTGAATCAACAAAACTAAGATATTATGTCAAAAACACCAATTTACCTAAAACTCAAACTTAATTCGTAGATCTAAGAAAGATTTTATTTACATATTTTTTATACGAACCAAAAGGGAAAGAGTACAAAAATGATTTTTACCATTCACGCAACTCTTTATTTAAAGCAACCAAGGAAAAGACATTCAAAAACACTATCTAAAAAAAGAAAATGAATAAATTAAAATTTGGTTAGAAAGTAAAGTAATAATGTATAGGTCTCAGTCTAATGTATCATGTTTGACTGAACATAAAAGTAAACAAAATAGTTAAAAAATTTCCCCAAAAAAAGTTAAAAAATTACACACAATATAATGCTTTTGGTAAATAAAAGCAAAGGTACAATAAATTAGGATGAATGAAAAAATAAAGACAAAAGAAAATTGGGTGGATGGAGTGTTTGTTATCCGTCAATTTAGGCATTAATAAAAATGTAATTTTTCATAGGGTGGGCATAAACCATGTGGAAACCTGCACATTTAATTCTTTGCAATTAATTATAATATAATAATATTTTTTAATAATAATATTTAAAAAAAAAAAAAAATAGTTTTGGGAATCTCTATGTAATTATTAATTGCAAAAAAACAAAAAGAAATGGGACACACAACCTTTCATCCTCTGGATCCTCCTCTTGATTTCTTGTGCACATGCCTCACAGTGCATGTGAACTTTCAGAATGGCACTCACCACCTGGGGCTGAACGGCAATTATTTCAAACTGTGAGGGGCTCATTGCAAATACAATTGCCAAATAAAGAGAATATTTGCCAATAAATGCAGTGTACCATATGCATGATGACTCTAACAAATTCAAGGAATCCCACATGAAAAAGAAAACGCTTTAAAATGAAAAAGACGTGAGAAGAGAAATTAATAATGATTGTGACCGGAAAATATTCATTTAATGTCATTTTATTTATATTTAATTTATATTCTAAATCAACTCCACAAAATAGAATTTAAAAAAATGTTTTTTTAACGCGAAATATATGAAACATGTTTTAGTTCTAATTACGTATTTATCTTGAAAATGGGCGAAATCTCGCAAAGAAGGTTACGTTTCATTTTTAGCGTATCCCATAAAACACTTCTATATAGTCTCAAATATATAAAAAAAACTTTCAAAACGACTGCTAACCACAATAATGGGTAAAAACGGTAAATTTTAGGCATTTTAGATGTGGGTATGGGTAGTTTTTTGGGATGCATAAAAAATTAAACGTAACATTCTTTTTGGGACAAAGGGAATATTATATTATTTGGAATGTTGATGTAAAATATCCCTTTTGGGAGTTTGGTTAATTGGCCAAACTCCACATTATGATTTGGAATGCTCATGTAAAATATCCCCTTTTGACAACCACCTACATACCTGTTTTTTCTCCTCCGCCTGAGGGGGTTCCTCCGGCGGCTTTTTGGGTTCCTCCGCCGGTGGAGGCGGCGGCGGAATGGGAGAGAGTAGCTCAACCTGGCGGTGGCTCTTCTTCTGAACCCTCTCCAACACTTTTATTGGATCTGCCTTTTCACCTTTCACCACCACCGTATGGGTCTTGCAATCAGTCACCACTTCCTCTACCCCTGCCCAATTTTTAATAATAATAATAATAATAATGCTCCAAATATAATAATCATTTATTTTTTATATCGAGGATTGTCTTTTTTTGAAATGTGTAAAAAAGATAAAGATCAACTACAAAATACTTATTAAAATAGAAAATGAGAACTTCATTTTTTTAAAGAACTTGTTCATATACGAGTAATAATCTAATAATATAACACAAGTATTTTAAGGAGATTTGATGTGCTTTTCTAGGCTTTATTAATTTATGTTCTTTATTGAAAAACTAATAAATGGTTTATATTATCTTCTTATTTTTCTTTTTAGATTAGCATCCCAAAAATGTCTTATATTTCCTTTTTCCATTCTAAAACATTGAGCCTTTATGAAAAATCGAGCAAAACATCAGATATCAAGTATGGAACTATTTCTCAGGATAAATTTAAAAAAAACTATACTCTCTCCGTTCCACTTTAGATTACAATATTCCCTTTTTGTTGAAATTAAGGAAGAGTCAAATCAAATTTTTTTCCCCCAAATTACCCCCAAATCCCCCATACTTCCCACTCACATGGATGAATAGTGTGTGAATAGTGTAAGAGTGGGAGGGTAAAAGAGTCAATTTCTTGTAAAGTTATTGACTTTGTAATTCTTTTTAAGACAAAAATGTGAGAAAATATTGTAATCTATTTCGGGACGGAGGGAGTAGAATTTTTGGCTTTGTGCATACACGAGAAAAACAACACTCAAAGTTGAGCACAAGCTCTCAAATTAACCATTATTTTGAATTTTTGGGGCCAAATTAAAGAGACTATAACCCTGAAAATAGCCATAGTGATTTGGATAAAATTTGAACCGTATAAACTAATTCGGAAAACTTTAACGCTAAAAACTATCGTTGAATAACCTTTTCAAAACGCTAACGCTAGATGTAAGTGGCTACGTACCGTCAAAGCCTTTGAGGCAGCGGCGGACTTTGCGGGCACACCCCTCGCAATGCATGAACACTCTAAGAACAACTTCCGGGGGCGGCGGCGGAGACTCGTCCTTCTTATCCTCTGCCGCCGCTTTACTGGCGGCGGCCTCTCCGTCCGCTTTCTCCTCTCCTCCGCCGCCGCCGCCCGCCGCAGCAGGACTGCTCTCATCTACTTTCTTCTCCACCTCCTCCGGCTTCTTCACTTCATCCCCCTTTTTCTCTTCCTACACAACAAGATTATTATTGAAAGGAGTAGGAAATGATGAATTAATTAAAGTACTAATAATAAAAGAAAAAGGGAAAGGGGGGGAGAGAAAAAAAGATCTAAATCAATAAACTGCTGCTACCTCCCCCATTTGGACAGATTGAAGAAATGATGAAATGAAGGCTAGGTGATAAGCTTAGATAATAATAATAAAATTATTATTATTATTATTATTGGTTTTGAAAATAAAATGGGGTTGGAGGAGTAGTGGAGTCTCTCTAGGCTTATTTTGTCCGGCTCCCTCTCTATCTCTAAAAGTTTGTGATAAAGAAGAAAGAAAAAAAAAAGTGAATGAAGGGGCGGGCAAGGGATTGGATATAAGGGGTGGCCTAATATACAGATGGCATGACATGTCACACGTACGATATTTGCCTTGCAACGACTAGGCTAGGTGCCACTTGTGTGATTTACTTCTTCATCAAATGAATTGAAATGATGATATCTTGAAGAAAAAGAACATTTTCCCCCTCAAATTACTTCTTTGTTTGTTCAAATATTGTCTCCATTGTCAAAAGAATAATTATTGAGTATTGCATAATACTCCGTACGGTCCTAAAAACATGAGAGTTATTTATTTTTAAGAGATTTAAAGGAAGTGTATTTTGGTATATTTAATTTCCAAAAGAGTCTTTTGATGTGATGAATAACAGTACGATTTTATGGATGGAATCATTTTGAGATATAGAATTCTTTTGACAAAAAACCTATTGTCAAAATATCACAACAAAGGCTACGGTGTTTTGATCGAAAAATTGATGGTTTCTACCTTCCAACTCCATGGCCCAACCCCAACACTTAATAGTGGATTGGGAGAAGGGCAGACGGGTGCTGGGGTGGAGGCATGGAGGTTTAGGGGAAGTTAGTGGATAGAAACCATCATTTTTTTATTGGAGCACCGTAGCCCATGTTTTCAAAAGAAACTGCTGCCTTTTTCTAATATATATCTATATATAGAAAGAGAATATATTGGTCAAAGTGTTGCATTGAAGACTATGAGAAATCAAATGGAAAGAAAATTTATAGACGCAAGGAGTATTATTCACCACATCAGATCAAATTTGATAAAATTTTGTTTTAATTCAAAAGTTTTAGGGCTTAAATTACTAAAGGGCCTTTGGAAATGATTTGGAGGTCTTGGACTTAGAGAGAGCTTAACCGTTGATAGAGGTTATGACTCAAGCTAATTAAAGATTATGGTTATGGTAATACCTATGATAAAGGAAAGGCGAATGTTGTTGGAATGCACGAGTTCAACCCTTTCTGTGTTGTTTAGTGTTGACTCACAGGTTTTGATAATTGACAAACACAATTTATTCAAGTCAAGATTAAAGTGCTACAACGACAAACACGAAGACTTGAAGTGCCATTCCTTGAAGTATTCAAGAAAGTGCACAGGATTTTGTTGAAGTCCGAGACGCGTCCGGAGCGCCTAACGGAGGACTCGGAGGAGTAGAAGATTTCCGAAGACTTTATTTATTTGAGTCTTAGGAATTATTGTAAGGATGAAAAAAATATCTTCTCTCCAAAATTATTTTTATGAGAGTTAAAATAAAAATTATATTTATTTTTGGAGTCAGTTGAAAAATCTTTTTAACTATTCAAAATAGTTTCATTGAGTCAGTTACAAAAGGTGTGCCAAACATTTATCAAATATTTATTTTGATATTATAAAATATTTTTGGTAAGCAACAAAATTTTATTCAAATATTTTTGTGTACATCATTTGACACACAAAATAATTTTTGGACTCACTTTCTCCCCTATTCAAACTTATTGAATAGGAGATGTTTTTTTTTTGATTGAGGAGCGTTGCTCTTATTCTCGCTGTCTCAAACAAATAGGATACCGCCAATTTGTTTCCTCATCGCAACTTGGCTGGGGCCATTTGTGTTGCGCTTTATTTGAGAAGTAATCGATTAATCCTTTTGCAATAATCGATTATTTGATTCTTGCCAAGCGGAGGACTTCTGGCTTTTGGACCAAATCGATTTTCTCCTTCCATTTAATCGATTAATAGCTTTTCGTCGTTGGATTCCCAGGCCTGTCTGCTAATCGATTCTTTTTCCTCTTTTAACCGATTAGTTCGGACAGAGCTGACTAATCGATTTTTGTACCTAATTTAATTGATTAGTTCCATTTCCCTTTTCAGGCTTTTTCGCCTCTATGTACCGTAATCGATTTAACTATCTTCGTTAATCGATTAATTTTATCTGGTGCATATTCTCGGCTTCTTTTCTTGGACCAACGGATATATTTCTTCATCTCCTATTTAAACTTCACTCCTTGGTCATTTTTACTATGAACAAGCACTCCTAAAATCCCCCAATCTTGAGGTTATAATCCTCCATTCATTTCTTCCTCAAATTGATATATTTTGAGAGGAAACTAAGTGTTTTCAAGAGAGTGTTCTTGTCATCCATAGAGCTTAACATTTTATCATTCCTACTCTTTTGTGAGTTTATGTTGAGAGACTGAAGAAGATTGTTCTTCTTGTTGTTCAAGACTTATGTGACTTAAGTCTTGGTTGTGAAGTCTTGTAGAGGGCACATTTACGAGCGATTGTGTTAAGGCTTGTGGGACTCAAGTTTTCGGTTTGTAAACGGTTTGTCAAGCACCCGTTGAAGCTTGATAAGTAGTGGTAGCTTCGAGAGAGTCTCTCGGGGAACTAGACTAGCCACGAGGTGGTGAACCAGTATACATCGGTGTGTTCTTTGCCTTTTCTCTTTTATTTCTGCTGCACTTACGTTCATATTATTAATTGGTATCGGAGCACAATTGGTATCCCTAACGCTCCTTGTGACGTTAAGAGTTGCACGCCTTGTCTAACAATTGGTATCGGAGCAGGTATCCCTAACGCTCCTTGTGACGTTTGAGAAAACGATCAAATTTTTTTAAGAATGTTGAACGCAGGGATAGGAGAAGGGCAATCCACCATAAGGCCACCATTTTTTGATGGAACGAATTACTCCTATTGGAAGGAGCGTATGAGAATTTTTGTTCAATCTAATAACTTCAAATTTTGGCTTGCTATCAAGAATGGAGATAGCTTGCCAATGAAGAAGATAGGCGATACACTCATCCCAAAGGACGAGGATGAATAGGATGAAGCCGATCTTAAGAAGGCTCAATTGAATGCCACCGCCATCAACTTCTTGTATTGTGCTGTCAACGCCAACGATTATCAAAATATATCTCGTTGCCAAATCGCCAACCAAATGTGGAACAAGCTCATGATCACATACGAAGGTACACCTCAAGTTCGTGAATCAAAAATTGATTTACTAACCCATGAATATGAGTTATTTGCTATGAAAGAGAACGAACTTGTGGAGGACATGTTTGGAAGATTTTCAAACATCGTCAACGACCTTGATATGCTTGGAAAGACGCTCGCCGACAAAGAGTTAGTGAGAAAAATTCTGCGAAGTCTTACCAAGGAATGGGAGTCAAAGGTTAACTCCATTTACGAAGGCCGAGATTACAACGTCATCACATACGACGGTCTTCGAGGTAACCTTATCACTTACGAAACAAATCATCTTTCTCATACTCTTGACGTTAAGAAGAGAACGGGAATTGCTTTTAAAGCATCTTCTTCTCAAAAAGTAGAGATTGGTGATTCGGATTCAGATAGTGATAGTGATAGTGATTCTAGCACTTCTTGTGATATTTTGGTTGAATGTTTTAACGAGTTTATGAAACATAAGCTTAAAAAGAGCAAGAAGAAGAACACCCCAAAATGTCACAAGTGCAGAAAGCTTGGCCACCGAAAATTTGAGTGCCAGACGCTCAAGAAGATGAGCATACAAGATGAATTCGCGTATTTTTCGTGGAAGTATGATCAACCTTCCAAAGACGATTGCATCATCGCTCTTGAAGAACAAGATGGGTGGTCGGGTACGTGACGCACTTGAAAGGTGTGCTTGAAGACTACAAATTTGTAGTGGATGCTCTAAGCACTTAGCCAAAGAGGTTGCATCAAAGGGGAGTCATTACATTTTTTTAAATGAAATTATTTGGGAATTTATATAGGATGCTTTGCATAGAGTAAAGGGGAATTTATTGCTATATGTGTTAATCTTTTTGTATGCCTTATTTTTTAAGGGGTAGATAGCATACTTTAAGGGGGAAGTATTTTATTTCCTAGAAATGCATGATTTTAGGGGGAATGTGATTTTTCTTAATTGTTTAGAAATTTTTTTTCCCCAGAATGCATGAGTTCTTTTGTTGCATTATTTTTGATAATGCCAAAAGGGTGAAGAGTATAGGAGTATATGCTTTAATTTGTTATTTGTTGGTAGCATATCCTCCATGTGTTTGTAATTATCAAAAAGGGGAAAATTGTTGGAATGCATGAGTTCAACCCTTTCTGTGTTGTTGGTAGCATATCCTCCATGTCTCATCTTCTTTTCTTGGACCAAGGGATATATTTCTTCATCTCCTATTTAAACTTCACTCCTTAGTCATTTTTACTATGAACAAGCACTCCTAAAATCCCCCAATCTTGAGGTTATAATCCTCCATTCATTTCTTCCTCAAATTGATATATAGAGCTTAACATTTTCTCATTCCTACTCTTTTGAGAGTTTATGTTGAGAGGCTGAAGAAGATTGTTCTTCTTGTTGTTCAAGACTTATGTGACTTAAGTCTTGGTTGTGAAGTCTTGTAGAGGGCACATCTACGAGCAGTTGTGTTGAGGCTTGTGGGATTCAAGTTCTCGGTTTGTAAACGGTTTGTCAAGCACCCGTTGAAACTTGATAAGTAGTGGTAGCTTCGAGAGAGTCTCTCGGGGAACTGGACTAGCCACAAGGTGGTGAACCAGTATACATCGGTGTGTTCTTTGCCTTCTCTCTTTTATTTCTGCTGCACTTACGTTCATATTATTAATCCTGCGAAAATCGTTAAAGATTCTCAACAACTCTATTCACCCCCCTCTAGAGTTGCACGCCTTGTCTAACAAATGTTGTAGCTGATGCTCTCAGTAAGAAGGAGATGGCATCAGAGCAACATATTCAGTCGAACCTGGAGACTGAGGTCATTTCTAAAAAAAAGTGATTAAGAACCCTGTGCAATCACCGCCGATTACAAAATGCAGAAGCAATTAAGAACCCGCTACTCAGCTACTCCCTTGGCTTCTTCTCCTTCCCTTCACTATATAAGAAGACCCTTCAAGCCCCATTTATTCACCATTCTTCTTCATTATTCTTTCTAAGTGTTCCTCAGAGTGTGAGGAGTGTTCTAGTGCTGTCATTTTGGTATGAAGTCGCCGGAGCTGAGAGTAATCGTTGCCGGAAGTTTTGCCGGAAAATTTCCAAAACCACCGTTAAGCTTCGAGGTAAGCCCGTAGATATATCTAGTGATTAGAATGTTCGTATAGATTGTTTTTACGCTCATAAATGGTCATTTGGTTGAGTTTTGTGTTTGACATGTTTGAAGAACCAAGAATCATAAACCATGAAATTGTTGTTAAAACTATGAATTAATGATTCCAAATGATCTATGAATGTTGGAGAAAATTTCTATATAGTTTAATTGAAGTTCGGTAACTAAAAATTGTATTTTTGAAATTGAACCTGAAACGAAGAAGAAGATGAACAGTGATCGAAAAACCAGAGGGTGGATCGGTCCACCCTCATGGATCAATCATCTGGAGGACTTTCTTTACGGATGATCGATCCAAGGTACTGGATCGATCCCCCCGACCTAGATGCTCCAAAAATATTTCTGAAAATGTTATTTTTTGAGCTCTAAAATCATATTTTTCATACCAATTAATTATGAACAATATAAAGATGATTTTTCAAAATAAAAATGATGTTTTTGGTAAAAAAAATCTTATGTGATGCATGACGGTAAGTTAGGGTGTTAATACTCGAAACTAGGCCGCTATTTTCTATTAGATGTTATGTACGTTGATTGATGATTATGACGAATGGTTATTATGGATGATTATGAATGATGAACCTACTGATTAAAATGATTATTGATGATTAAATCACGACTAAAAATGGATGTATTGGTAATCATGAAGATGATGTGTATTGTTAAGGATATCTAGAAGAACTCTAAGATACCATTTGAAAATTGATGATGATTATTAAGGATATCTAGAAGAACTCTAAGATATACCTCCTTGACCAATTTATAATTCGAGGTTAAAACGTACATACATGATCCAAATCGGATATCACCCACCCAAGAGTTCACTTTTCGGTTGGTAAGTAATCCACAAGACTCATGAGGTGGTTTATCGATTCCTGTGTTCTGCCTTAAACTATTCATAGTTTAAGAGCTCAGTTAGAAATATTGTCTTAGACTAGGAATAACTAAGAGCTTGTTATAAAAATAATTTCGCCTTAGATTAAGAATAATTTAATAGCACTATTGGAATATCTTGAATAAAAATATTGTGAATATCATGAATGATGAATGCCTGAATTGTATATTGTGTGCATGATATCAAATGGCTGAATATGAAGTGAGATTCAATTTATATGGATGTTCGACGCATTAGATATACTTACTCAGCTTCACCGCTGAGCGTGTAGTGTGTTTTATTTGCTACACGCAGGTAGACAGAATGAATGAATGACATATTCCTGGCAGCGAATGGGACGAGAGAGTCATGGTGGATTTATGGATATAATAAATAATTAGGTTTGTTATGAGACATGCTTTAAAATTGCCACCGAATTATTATTAAACACTCAGTATTTTTACTGTTATGTATTGAATATTATTTATGATAAACAAAGATATTTGAAATGTTTGAAATTTTTACGATTACCAAGTTAATACTTTAGTCCGAAAGGGGGGACAGACCTGAACGGATTGGGGTGTTACACATAGTCCACTCCTAATGTCTTTCTAGGTTATCATCACACCATGAAAGGTTTAAGGTTACAAATGTTATGACCCTCTTTCCTAGAAAACCTATGCCTCCTGTCATGTTTGTTTCATCGAAGATCAATTCCCTTACTCCAAACTCCTATGTAACCTAATCTTTTCCAATTCTCTAGGCATCATTCTCATCTTTCCTCATCGTCCAAGCTCATCGGCTAAGGTACCGCCCCCTCAACGCGATGTCTCCACTAAACTTGCCTCCCAGACGGTCGAGCAAATCGCTTATCATCTTGTCCACGATCAACTGCCCATGAACACTCTCTCTAATTCCCTACAGGTGGTCAACCCTCTTTGACCATTCAGTCATCAATAGTTGACCATTATCTTAACAGTATTATGAACCCTCACAGGCAGTCAAACTCATAGACCATCCCTATCACGCAGTCGCCATCCTAACACAAGCAGTCTCGAACAATCCACAAACAGTCATCTTATGCAAATTCGAGCCAAATCTGGAATCTTCAAACCCAACACTTACATCACACCCACCCATACTAACCTCTTACCATTAAACGTAGCACTTATAGTCAAGCCTTCAGTAATAAATATTTGTGGCAAGCTATGGATGATGAGTTGATTGCTTTTATTGAGAAGCATACTTTGGATTTGGTTCCTCCTCCCGAGGACTAAATACCAATTAGCTATAAATGGATGTATTGTATAAAATGGAACGCGATGGATTTGTTTTGAAGTATAAGACTTGTCTTGTGGCCAAGGGATAGAATTAAGAGTATGAAATTGAATACAAAAAAACATTTAGCAGTATTGTGAAACATGAAGCCATGCGTTTTGTTCTCTCTCTAGCTTTTTATCATGACTAGTGTCTTCATTAGTTGAATGGTAGTAATGCTTTTCTTCATGGTATCATAGAGGAAGATATCTATATGCAGCAACTACCAGGCTATGTTAATCAAACCGCCCGAACTATGTGTGAAAATTGTGCAAATCCTTGTATGGTCTCAAAAGCTCCATGCACCTGGTATACCCGTTTTGCTTCCTTTTTTCTAGGGTCTTGGTTATCAATTTTGTAGACATGAAACGAGCTTATTTACTGTTCATTGCAACATTGTTATTAAGGAAGTTCCTCTTCTCCTATCTTTGAAATCACTTAGACTATGCACCATGATTTTCATCTAAGGATCTGAGACCTCTTCATTATTCCTCTCTTGGTATTGAGGTCCAACTCACCAAGGACACCATTTTCCTTCATCAATCAAAGTATAATGTTGATCTTCTCTATAGGGTTGGTATGACTGATTATAAGCCGGCTGCCACCCTGATGGCGACTCAGACAATTCAGAGACTGTCTCCTCTCTTATCTGATCTCACTCTCCTCCGTAGCATTTTCAGTGAAGTAAACTATTTGGAAATCACTTGTCCCGATATATAATATGTCGTCAATCGAGTGTCTCAAATCATGCACAAACCAATTGAGCAAAATTACTTGGTCTTAAAGCACAAAGTCCACTACTTAAAAAGTACTTTTAATTGTTGTTTTTTATATTAGAAGGGGACCTTGATATTTCGGTCTATTTTGATTTCAAATGGGCCAATGAAAAAGATTATTGTCGATCTATTACTAGATACATACTTATGCTCTGGTCAAATCTCATATCTTGGTGTACAAAGCAAAAGACTTGTGTCTCCCGGTCTTCTACTAAGGTAGAGTATCACGCCATGGTCGCAATGGTGTCAGAAGTTATTTGGCTTTGTTATATTACAAATGCTATTCGTATTCCTCTTATGAAACCATGTATCTACTGTGAAAATGAATCCAATATATGCATCAAAATGAATCTAGTTTTTCACGATTGAATAAAGCAAGTTGGCTCTGATCGTAACTTAGTGGAGGATGCAGTCATAGCAGGCTTTATGACTACTCATCATGTTCTGTCCATTGAACATCTTCTCGATATTTTCTCAAAACCGCTTCCACCATCTTCATTTCGGTTCTTGTGCTCCAAAATACCCCTCGTAGTTGTTGATCAGCTTGCAGGAGGATAATAGGAAATTAAATCCTAATGTTATTTAGTTTTTTATTATTGGTTTACTATATTTATATTCCTACCTTATTCAATATTCTTTACCATGTAATATATATATATACACACACACACACTCTCTCTCTCTTTTCAAGTTCATTATTCAATAAGGTCAATTATTATCCAATTGTATCAGAGTATATATATCCAATTAGAGTTGCTTGGATGTTTCCCTTTCACAGCATAGTTAAAATGGCATTTTCAATGATTTTCTTGGCTTTAAGTGGTTTCTTTTAGAGGATTATCCAAACAAACTCAGGATCGATCTGCTATGGCACGCAACATTTTGTTTTTTGGAATTTCATTTAGTCTAAATCTGGATTTCATGTTGCTCAAGAATATCTTTCGCATGGATTCAAAACTAAATTGTGATTTTGGGTATGTCAAGATTGAAAAAAGCTATAGTGTAATCACATATAACAAAGTGATTATTAGTGGAACCTGTAAATGGTAGTGAATCTCATGATGTACTAGAAGTTTGGTGTGAATGAGAAGTTGAAAGTAACTTTGTATCTCTTGAAGGCGAGCATCCAATCCCTTTAGTGTTGCAAGTTTCTCAGATATCGATATGGGAAAGTCCACTTGGTAAGTGTGTGTGTGGGGATGAGCGTGCGTTGCGAAAACAAATGCATATTTTTTCTCAAATAAATAGTTGTAAATGAGCCCTAGTGATAGTTTTGGCACTCAATTAACATTATTTCCAATTTGTTTACTTTAAATTGAGATAAGGTTTTTAAGGATGTGTTATATTTTAATTTTCAATATTTTATAAATATAAGTATATTTATTTTAGTTTTTGGATAATATTTTTATGTTTGAGTTTTAGATTGTATTCTTGAAACTATTTTTTATTTAAAATGCTATTCTTTAATATTTAAACATTTCGATCCTATTACTTAAATAATGTAATAGAATAAAAACATGTTAAAATAAATAATCTAGATAATACAGAGTAGTTTGTTTATAAAACAATAAAATAAAATAAATGTTGCATAATTTTAAAAAGTTATAAACAATGACATCGGTATTTTTATTTAATAAAATTTATATTACTTTTTTTAAATAACAACAACTTATGAATATTTTAGAACTGAAATATATATTTTAAAAAGAGTTAGAAAGTTAAGGGTTTTATATAACAAATAATAAAATAATGGTTACATGGTATTTTAAATTAAAATGTGAAGGGTATAGAAAATATGTTTTTAAAATTTTAAAAATTTAAATATTACTTGTATATTTTTGAAAAACTCTATTTATCAAAGGTTTAGTTATTATATGGATATGACTTTTCATATTCTTCATTCCTTAAAAAAATACTCGGTAAATGGCAAGAGGTGACCAGTTGTATCAATCTATTTGGAAATAAATTAATGACATATAATCACAA